TGCTTTTTTGCACTGTGGTCTGGCTTACATACGGGCTTTTAAACATGTGTTATTTATCTAAATCACTTCCTCCTGACAGTATCACTATCGCTCCTTACCATCACTAGTTGGTAGCTGACCCTTTTACTGTCCATGGCAGTGGTCTCCTGTGCAAGTAGGGGCACAGACTTCTGTTTCTCCTCATGTATGTCCTTATGTATTTGCAACCATCTGGTAAATTTAGCCACTGGCAACCAGTGCTGGCACAGCTGTTCTCACTGCTATGCTAGCTGTGATAGCCTTGGTGGCATTAGAGAGACAAATGGACTGGAAGAGGTTTATTTTATTGAATGGTGTTTTACTTAGAGAAACACTTTGTACTTTAAACAGCAGAAAATTTGGATTTTTTTAAAAGGAGATATATGTAGCATGGCACAGAATGTTACTAAAGCAAAGCTAAGCACTTTAGAAGAATACATATGGTATATGACCAGGTCAAAGCAGATTTTAAAAATATGAGAGGCTGTACAGACAATGGTGAAAACCTAATTTGCAATGACTAGTTTTGCATGCATGCAGACTGATGCCCCTCAGGGGGTCTGGCCTTTCTGGTACACAGAACTCAAATCTTTATTTTTTGTGTCAGTCAGAATAAACCCTGCCTGCGATGCCTTCTGGAGATGGCAGAAAAGGGCAGTTGTGTGATTCATGTAAAGTGTACTTCCCAGGGGAACACTCTCTTTCTATTTTTATCTCTGTTAAGTGGCTCAGACTGCAGCAATAATATAAATTAACATATAGTTAAAGAAGCAGCCTAGCTAGTGGCTCCCATCTCTATGAATGTCTTGCATCTCAGCATGGCCAGGCTGCTGTTGTTCCTATAGGATATTGTATTGCATGTTGCTGTAACCTTTTCCTCTCTGGCACACAAACTTCTTCATTAGTTAATTACTGTCATTTAGGCATCTTATTCATCCAGGCAGGTACAATTTCAACAATTTTTTTTAACTATATCAAGCTTCATGTAACAGTAAGACCTCATTCCTGTTGCACCTGCCTGTACTTGTGTTCAGTTTTACTACTCTGACTTGTTCCATTGACAGACAACTCTCCTGGAAGTAGAGCTGAGTGATTGCAGCATTGAGGTCTCAGAGTAAAATCATTTCAAGAGCCAGTTGTTCTCAAACCTTTTTAAGTTACATACCCCTTTTTAAGTTTATCTGGGACCTCCCTCTATGTTTCTCTGGTACATATCATTTAGAAAAAATACTTTTGTATATCACCGCAAAAGCTCCTGTCATCAAATCTCATCTAAAGCAAAATTTAGCTTCAGTTGTATAAAACCATAATCAAACCTAAGTCCATTTTGAAAGAAAGAGTTTCTGGAAAATCTTTGGTGTACAGTATGATATCATAACACAAGAATGGAACATAAGAATCAATAATGAGTCATATCAATTGTATAAGGACCCAACCCTGACACAGGAAATCAGAGCACAGTTCAGTAGCTGGGCCACATGGAAAGAATGGAATTAATCCAACACAAAAGAAAGTGCTCAGAGTGCCAGAGGGTAGAAAGGCTACCTGAACAACCATGAGGAAGGTGGCTACATGATGTAGTGTCAAACCTACAGAAATTAAATGGGGATGACTGGAAGATGAAGATACATAACACATGTGAATGGATGGAAATAGTGGAGGCAGCCAAGGGTCTCTAGGGCCCATAGTGCTAAATTATATTACATATCACAGCAACTGCCATAACTTTTCTGGTCACCTAAGAAAGATTGTAACGTTGTTCTTATTTTTCTTTACTTTAAAAAAAAATCTTTTTCTTAATTTTCTTTTGTTGATTTTCCCTTCTGCTTTCCCATTCCTTCCTCTTGCATACTTGAAAAGTGGGGTGCCACACATACAGCCCTCAAGCTGAAACTGGCCCACAGAACTTCTTTGGCCAGCCAGGCTACAAGCAGGCTACTCTGATGGACAATTTAGGGGCTTTGGGCCCTGATGCACCTGGTGTCTGTGGGGGCTGTGCAGATACAGCCCAGGAAGAGCCCCCATGGTCTGCTTCTGGCCTGGCATCCGAGGTGAGTTTGACATCCCCGTTCCAGAAAAGCACCATGTGCCACGGGTTGAGAACCTCTGGGGTGGATGTAGTGCAGAAGGGAAACTGAAACAGCAAGCAGAACTTATTTTTTCAGTGACAGCTGTGAGACATTTTGTATATAGATTGCTGAAGCCAGGGATATTACATTATGCAAAACAGACGCTGTCTGTACTGCACAGGATAATTAAAGTCACTCCTCAGTAACTACTGAAGTATTTAAAAGTATTAAAAGAAGCAGATATAAAAAAATGCACTACTGGGGTAAAGGTTCATAGAAAAGATAGAAGAAAAAATAATGAAAAGTCCGTTTCTGTAAGAGCAGGATCCAGTTTCCTGGGAAACTATATGTGGTCTTCTTAACTTTGCACAATGTGAAGTGTTGCTAGTTCCTGGGATTATATCACAAGATTATCAAAATCCGTTATTTTTCTTTAAGCTAGGGCTGCTCGAATGAATTAGTTGCATCATTTTCACAACTTTCAGATCTTTAAAGAATGTTTCTGACGATCATTGTTGTTGAGAAAAGTTTAAAAATGCTAACCAAGCGCAGCCCAAAGATTCAACAAATCAGAAAGTAACTAAGAATCCTGAAAAAAAAACCTCACCATTTTTTGCGTAGCCTAATTCAAGATTTTAAAATCACTGATGTGGGGACTGGGTGAGCGGAGTTGCTGATGTCAGTGGGGACTACACACAGTACATACAGTTAGTGAAAACAAAGATGTGTTTCTGCAGGATCTGACCCTATGGCAATCTCAGACACCCAACTGGCATTTGACAAGGATACTGTATACAGCAAATGCATCTTGTATTTCTCAAATCCCTTACAAACAAATACATTAAAAAGGGGATTCGGGAAAAAATAGGATTTAAAGTCCCTGTGTGTAAGAGGTCCCACCCAGGTGAATCTGGACCTTACTTTTCAGGACTTACATTAATGGAAAGGCATAGTTAGTGTATTAAATTAAAATCATGTAGAAGAGGGTATATTTGCACCTTATAGAGTAGTGATTTTCAGCTGTGATGAGATTCTTTCAAGGGATTCTTTCACGTAACGTTTGTACTGTAAACAAGTTTCACAAGATAAACTCAGAGATTTCAAATAGGAATCTGTAGTCATGGGCGGATGTAGGATTTTGAAAATGGGCGTCACAACTTAAATATTAAGGGAAAAAGAAACTAGAAGCTTTACTAATATGCTAGGGGCCTACGGCTGTGGTGTTCAGTTTTAAATTGATGCAAAAAAATACAACTTTTTTGGAATGAGGAAAAAAACAGTCTGCAGGGCTGTAAACTAGGAACTATGTTACCAGAAGCAGCTAATAGAGAACAGAACTATAGAACAAAGGCAAGCTTCTTTAATGGACATCAAGACCATTAAAAAAGAGAAAGGGTCATTAACACCTGTGGAATGAAGAGCTTAGAAGGAATCAGGTAGATTTTAATGAGACAGGTCTCTTTTCTAATGGGCTTGATGTTCCACTAATTGAGCTCTATTTTCTCCTCAATTATGTTAGCAGCTCCTGGTAATTTAATTTGCATTTCACAACCCTTCAGACTGTTTTTAAACCCTTGGTAAAAGCCTGAACTCAGGTGCAGAAATAACTTTCAGTAAAGCACTGGACACACTGTCAGGATGTTCATGGCTAGATTTTACTTTATGAATCTGAGAAAAAAGTTGTACTAATGACTACAGAATGACTAATGTTAATTCTAATGACTACAGAACTAATGAACCAACAGCTTTTCATTACTTTTTGCCTAGTTAATTGAGGACCGCTGTTATAGACTCATGCATCTATACATAGATTTGTACATAAAATAGGATGTAGCAAATTAATGCATATTCCAATGAAGTGATATTTGTTTTTGCTTCAGGCTTAAAATGAATCATACAGCCTTAGGGCCCTGCTGTAGTAGTAAAGCTTCTAGTTTCTTTTGATCTGGAGGGAAATATGCATTGTGTTCTATGGGCAATGCATCTCACCCTCTATAACCCCGTTTTCAAATCTGCCCATGATCCGTCTACCCTGCCTTACACCCGTGCAGTTCTGCTGTCTCTTAGGAGCTCCTGGTAATGTAGCTCCTAGTCCACAGCCGTGCAAACTATTTTTTAACTCATTCCAATAAAGCCATAGTTGCTTTTGTGTCAGTCTCAAACTGAATAATACAGCCCTAGGCCCCTGGCACAGCAGTAAAACTTCTAGTTTCTTTTGAACTGGAGGAAAAAATGCATTGTGTGCTATGGGGTGATGCACCTCACCTCTGTGCCCCCCGTTCCAAAATCCTAGAGCTGCCCACGACATACCCTGCCTGGAAGAGACTGAAGTTAGGTTCTTACTCCCAGCTCCTTAGTGACCCAAAAAGGATTTTGCCCCAGCAGGATGAGGCTGAATATGTCTCTCCAGCAATGCAAGTCCCGCCTTGCATTTCATGCAAGAGGTTGAAGCTGGGTCCTTATTCCCAGTTCCTCAGTGCCCCGAAAAAGATTTTGCCCCTGGGTCCCAGCTCTGCATTCAGGGCTCTCGATGTACTTGACACAGGATCGGATTTGAGTGACACACGTTTCTGATGCAATTTTAAGCCTCTAGCCTGAGTAGCTCATCACCAGCCACCTTTAAGGGTTTGGACAAAGGAACCAGGGTCGGGGAATGAGTAACTAGGACTAAAGAAGTGAGAGCAAGGACCCAGCTCCATCCTCGTGGATGAGCACGACCAGCTCTTGGCCCCCTCCGCCGGCCAGAGGCCGCTCTGCTGGGGCTGCCTCCGCCTGGCGGCAGCGCCCCTCTCTCGGGGCCGGGCTGGCAGGCGGGGGCAGGTGAGCGGGGCGGACTCCTTGCTCCCGCCGTCCCCGGCACCCGCCGGACTGGTTGCGGGGCTGGAGGCAGCAGCCGACGCCGGGCGGGACGGGCGCGCCCGGCAGGAAGTGTCCCGGCAGCAGGAAGCACGGAGCCGGCTGCAGCAGGTAGGGCAGGGGCTGCGGGCTGCAGCGCCCTGGGAGGGGGCCCCTGGGCGCTGATCCCCTCCCGTTGCTCCCCTGCCAGGCAGGGAAGGGGGAGCAGGAGGTGCTTCCCCCCCGCGGCTCCGTGCTCCCAGGCTGGAGGCTGAGCCGAGCCCCCCTTCGCCTGGGCATCGCCTGTATTGCCGAGGGCTGATCCTGCTCGGGCAGGGGCTGGGCTGGAGACTTCTGCAGGTCCCTGCCAGCCACGCTGCCCAGGGCTGCTTTCCTGGCCCTTTCCTGGCCCTGGTCTGTTCCTGGCTCCGGCCAGAGTTTGGCTGGGCACCAGGGTGCGAATTAAAGGGGAGCTGAGCCCCCCCCCGAGATGAGAGCCCGCTATAAGATTTGAAAAGCGTAACCTGGGGGGGGGTCTCTGATCGGCTTCCTCCTTCACTTAGTAGGTGGACTTGTTAATCAATTAACCGGTTTAGGTTTTTTTGCACTGGTTATGATCCTATGGCCTTCCCTCACACCCCCGCTTTGTCTTTTTGTTGTCCCAAGCGATCAGTGATGTGCCCTTAATGCCCCCCTCCCCATGGGGGGGGGGGGGGGGGGGTGGTTTTTTTTGGGGGCCCTTAATGCCCCCCCCCCCAGGGGGGGGGGGGGGGTCTTAGCTTTATTTGGTGGGCTTCAGTCCCTGTTCTGGACAAGCACATCAAAAGGCCAGCCCGACTGTGCTCTGCTTTCAGTGCCTGAGTACTAGGGAGACACGGATCTTTGGGCAAATCTTTTATTAGACCAAGTAATTAGTTGGAAATATATATATATTTTTTGCAAACTTTTGGGTACAAACACCCTTCTTCATGCAGAGGGAGAGTCCCTGAGTACTAGGGAAGCACTGGAGGTCTCCCCTGAAGCCGGTGGCCTGCTTAGTACTACATTGTTTTGCTTTTTTCCCTTCCTTATTTTTTGTTAACTTTCCTGTGTGGCGGCAGTGTTTCTAAACCTCAAAAGATCTGTAGGTCGGAAAGAGGAAGTGTCTTGAGACGTAAACTGTCACGTCTCTGGGGCTGAAGGCGTGGGGAGGGTCTTGCAAGAAGCCTGCATTTCTCTTTAAAAGGGACAGCGGTAGTTGTGCAGCGATAGTTGTGCAGATCTTGTGAAAGGCATGCTGCCTCTGACCCGCAGTACTAAGGCGGTGGTGGAAAACAGCTACAGCTCTGCGCTGTCGGTGGGGTAGACCCACAGTTAAATTAGAGTTGCCACGAACACTCACACTTTCCAGAACGCAGGTCTGCGAACCAGGAAGTTCCACCTGTATCCGTACCACCCTGCTGTTGTGAACATGATCTTGCAGCCTTTAGTGGCAGTTCAGACAGAGTTTGAATGACAGTCCTTTGATTCAGCCCCTTGGCATGTGGGGAGGACAGACAGCTGTCTTTCAGTCAACTTGTGTTGACACTGAGTACCATCACCCATATATTGCCTCGGGTTTAAGAGTTATTTCAGGCCGTGTTGCACTGTGTATTTCGAAACAGGATTTTGTTTTCCTTTTTAAAGTGTTATTAGGTTAAAAGGAAACACAAGGAGTACTGACACCTAAGAATTTTTTTTATAAGCCTATTAAAATAGTGGTGTAGGGCTAGAGTGTGGACTTAGTACTTGCACAGGAGAGCAAAGCCTGTCTTCACACCTCTACGTGATGTAATAAGATTGTGGATCCCAGCATGCAGAGGTGGCTGCTGGTTGCTAGCTGTCTCAGAGAAGATGAGCACAAAGGTGGAGCAATGGGCAAAGCCTTCACTCTGCAATCTCAATGCGCTAGGCAAGTGGATCCAGTGCTAAGGATTGTTGTAACTGGCTGCTGGTATTGAAGCCAGGGGAAACAAGGGGATTGTGTCTTTGGGTGGTGCCTCTCAGATCCAGTACTTCCTGGGGTGGTACAGTTCATATGTCTCTTGCTCACTGCTGTGCTTAAAGGTATAATTGAATCCTAAGAATGGAAGTGCCAATTCAAAGCTAACTATAGTATATCATTTTGGACATTGTAGTGAAACAAGGAGATGGGAAAGGTATCATTTATCTACCAGGCTTGGGATTTTACTTTCCTACGCTTCAGTTGCTTCTTTTAAGTTTTAAAAATATCTTCTTGGTATTACTGGGTGCATCTACACATGCGCTTTAAATGCACAGTAGCCTATTTTACTGCACATTAAATCGTCACATCAAAAAAAGTGCTAATATGTTAATGTACAGTAAAAAGCTACTGTGCATTAAGCATCACTAAAAAAGGATGTGCTTTTTCTACTGTGCAGTAGGGCAGCCTAATGTGCATCTATCTAGTACCTCATATCAGAGGTACTGAATTTAATGCGCAGTAGCAAAAGCACATTAATATGTGTCTAGACGCACCCACTGAAAACAAAAGGATAGAAGATGCATTTAAATATTTTTCCTGAGTTTAGCATGTGTGCATGCTCCAATACAATAATCTTTTCTGCAAGTTAGCTATTACCCTGGTACCTAACTTTGTATCATACCAGTATCCCTTCTAAAAGATAACTTGCTTCTATGACAAAATGAGATAGTGCTGTTAATGTTTTTAGAGCTGTGTGGTTGTTACTCTTGTCATGACAGTCAGACTTTCTCCTTTTTTCCTCCTCTTTTTATTATATTTTTGGTGAGTCTGTGTTTAAACAAGATAACAGGCATCCAGTGAACTTATGGGTTGAGAGAGATGATGGGAAATGCCTGAATTTTTTTTTTTTACTGTGGATGTAGGGTGAAATTCACAGCATCTGCATAAAGTCCTCCAAACTTCTGCTTTATGTGAGCAGTTTGTGAAAAAAAATTAACTCAACACATGCTGTGCACTGCAGGTCTCTCCATGCAGCTGTTATTCCAGCTGTCTGTTCCAGGTTTGTCAGGTAGTAGGCCCACTGCCATCTCATAAACCTGGTTTTCCAGCTCACTTCTGTTGTGGCCATCATAGCAGTCTAAGTGGGATTACTTTGAAAAAGTGTTGTAGGTGTGCAGATGTCCCCAGGTGGCTGCTCCAGTAGTGGAACCCTCTGTGGAGTGTGAATGGCTGTGGAGGATGTCAGGCTAGCTCTCTGGACTAAGCAAGGAAAAGAGGAATAATGTTCATGGAGAGATGTCAGGCTGAACAAGGGACATCAGGGGGAGCCAAGGGATCCAACAACAAAAGCATAGGGGGATGTTGAGGAACAGACCAGCAAACTCTTGGTGAGAGATTTAATTCTTCCAGGACAAATTGGATTTCTCTTTCCCAGAGGTTAAAAAAGAATCGAAAGTCTCCTGAAAGAGGAGTAGTGTTAGAGTGGCGTTGTAGCCATGATGATCCAGGAATTATGTGAGAGCCAAAGGTTTATCTTTTATTTGACCAGTTGCATAGTTGGAATAAAGATAGACAAGCTTTCGAATGCAGGACATTTTTCTTCAAGATATTGCTCCCCAAAAATTCTTGTCTGAGAAAGGAGGTCAGTCTTGATACAACAGATATTGTGTTCAGTAGTGTCTACTGCTGGCAGAGTGCAAGCACAGTTCTTGGGTTCTTTGTACTAAAACAGGAGAATAAAGACTAAAGAAAAAGGCTTGCAAAGCCATGCCACCATGTGATGCTTCCTATGAATCACATGCTAAGACAAGCTCTTTTTCTTAGCAATAGTAAGCTTTATTTTTTTAATCAAGACTTTTCTTTAGTTCACATTTTTTGCTCATCTGAAGGGAGATATAGATTAATCATACATCATGTCCACTTTTAAGTCAATGCTTGAAAGCAAAGCTGCAGTCCCAACTAGCTTTAAGCTTGGTAGCTCAGGTACCAGCAGCAGTATAGCCATAGCTGCACAGAGCTCAGCATGGGCTAGCCACATACATTTTTATGCAGGTTCCCTGGTGAGTTTTGCAGCCTGCACTTAATTTGGGTGTTACTGTTAGCACCTGAGCTATGTTGTTTAAAGCACTGTTGGGTATGCCTCCACAAACTACAGCCACACCTTTCATTACAATACACTTCCCCTTAGGATTACTGTTCATCAACTGGCTTGAGCCTGCTGCCAAACAGCAGCACAGCTAGTGCACCACATGCTACCTGTAAGAAAGAATGTTGTGCGTCTTTCGTCATTGGAAAAAGGTTTGAGTCAACTGTATTGGACCAAATCTTGGTACACCCTCCAGTACATTAGATGTTGGACTGCTTTTGATGTGCTAAATGACATTTTTGTCATTTGCAGCAGGTATCACCAAACTAAATTCCTTGAGCCAGAACCTCCTACTAAGAGGTTGGATCCAGCCTGCAGAGGTCTGATCAAACCTGGGGGAGCACAGAGGATTGGGTGGTGCACAGTGGCTGGTCACCTCTACAGAGTCCTCCTCCACGGTCCTCCCTGCTGCTCTCTGTATCTGCACTGACCCTCTCTGCAGAGGGCCAGGTATCTACAGTGGTGTGAGTGCAGGCAGCTTGAACTCTGGCAGGGAAGGGGAGATCTGCAGCCTGCAGCAGAGAGCTGGATCATGAGCTTCAGGCCAGGGTTACAAAATGTCACCAGCCCCAATCTGAAAAAATGCCCACTGGCAATTTTTCAGAACCAAAAGCAAAACCCATTGAAGTGGGATTGTAGAGTACTGGGGTTTTTTTTCCACCCCTCTGCTTTTTACTGTCCTGACTTAAAGCACAATTTAGCCATGGCATGATCAATTTAGAAAAGGGTCCAGCCTTTCAGAGCTTAATTTTGGATTGATGTAAAACATTCATTCAGATTTTTGACATCTAGAAAACTAGTTACAATAGTTAGCTGTGTTACTGAAAGGTGGAACCTGTGAGGCTGTGATGCTTAGAGTACTAACTTTTCAATATCTCTCCTTCTTATTTTCAAAATGAACTCCTAGCGTGAAGAATTGGCAAATAAGTGACTAAATGCAGAAATAAGGAAACCCAAGAAGAAATCTGCTCAGTGACACCCCTTGAGAATCTTTCAACAACCTGCAACATCAGGCAACCTTTTTCCAAGCATTATCATTTTGTCGCCTAAAACCTGATATTAGCAGTGAAGTAGATGGCTCAACTTCCCCCTGGAATTCATTTTATCACTTTATTTACAAGAGATCAGCGGTAAGTTTTAGTACATCTAAAAAACCTTTAATCTTGGAGAATGCCAGTTCTTACCTGAGAATTATTGCTCTATTGCCTCATTCTCTTTTGAACTTTTCAACGATTAAGATATAAAGTAAGAAAATACTGAAAAAAGTGAGAAAATATTAATTTAATTTTGTAATGAAGAACATTGCCAAGGGTTTAAACTTCAGGGTGTTTAATATAAATACCAAGTGACAGAAATGTACCCAACGCCCTTTATCTATCATTAATTTTCAGGAGTTAGCAAATGAGTGCCTCTGTTACTCTGCTTCTTCATTTTCTTTTGAAGAATCAGCTTTTTATTTTTGAGCTGGTTGGTTCAGGTCAGCAAAACAGATTAATTTGCTCATACTACTGCGTGGAGGAGCTGCTTGTTCCTCCTGTGTGAATCCACTGTTCTGTATATAAAAGTGATGAAGTGCAACAGCTGTACTTGGCTGATTGCTTTTGAAAGCTTTTAATGTTTCATTCTTTTTTGGGTAGCATCAGTTCTTGTGTAATTTCTAAAGAGAGAAAAGAAACATGTCAACGTTAATGAGCAGCTCTCGGAACTTATCTTCCTGACTCCAACAGATGACCAGCTGAAACCCTGAAAGAAGAGATTTGGTTATGTAATGTGGACCTGCATGTTTTGATTATATTAAAGGCCTAAAATAAAAGGGATGAACAGGGGAACTTATCCATATATTCCATATGCAGAAAAGAGAGGACCACCATAATTATCCAGCCAGATCAGACCTCTGACCCACACACAGTCCAGAGGACAGAAGCTGGAGCAAAACACATCTTGTAAAAGGATTCCCAATTTGTCTTAAGGATTTTAGGCAATGGCAAATCCATCGCCTCCTTTGTAAACTGTTCCAGTGTTTAGCCACCCTCATTGATAGGTGCCTTATTTCAAGATTGAATGTTTTTCTTGCTTGAGCCTGGGTCAGTAAGGTAAAAAAGTCTCCCTGACAGTTCTCGGGGGAGAGACCTCTAAGAAAATCCAGCGACTTGTTCATGCTATGGTAAGTTAATACTCTAGTGTAAATGTATATAGTTAAATACTTGGCAGTACTTGGCTGATGCCTTAGAAGTGCTAGCGTCTTCTGTCTTTCTAGAGGTGCTTCCTATTAGATGGTACTCAAAATTGACTTTCTTTGGTCAGAAAAGTTAAGCCTCCACTGCATCCCCAGCATGCCCCAGGAGGCAGACCCCAAGTACCCACATACCTGATTTTGCTTGCATGCTCCAAACTTGGAAATGCTATAGCAGAGTCACTCTTGGGGCATCCTCAGTGGCTTATCTTGAGCACATAGGGGATGGGTTTTAAAGGCTGGCTGTAAAGGAATGCTCCTAGAGCTGTTTCTCTGCCACATTTCTAGTAGTGGTGCCTGTGAGCAGGATGCAGGTTGGCAGGTCATGTCTGGAGTTGTCCCTGTGAGGAGATACCAGTCATGGTTTAAGCCAGGGCTAGCCAACCTGTGGCATACTTTTCAGAAGCAGCATTGGCAGACTGGGGAGGGGACAGGCCGCCCATCAGAAAGCAGAGCAGCAGATTGGGTAAGGGAAGAAGATCCGAGTGGCACTGCAGGAGGGGGGCAAGGAATAGGTGGTTAATTTGTGGTACTCCTGTCAAAAAAGTTGCCCCCCTTGGTTTAAGCATACCCTAAGGATCCCACAGCACTTTCTACAGCAGGTTGTGTGTTAGTACAGTACAGTACAGTACTACATGGGTCTGTACAGTACTACGATCTATATTTCAGCTGGGGGCTTAAATATAAAAATGCATTGCATAAAAACAAATGCAATAGAGTTTGACTCTTGAATTCGTGCTTCTTGCTTGAACCATGCATACAGGCAACTGAATGTAATAAAGCATATTAAATGAAAATACATCACAAGGCATAACTGATTTTTATTGCTGTACTGTATGAAGCCCTAGACATGGCCGGAACCAAACTATGCCAGGGGCTGTATAAATACAGAACAAAAAGGTGGATGGTCTTTGAACTCACCATGTCATTTTTGAAGATTGATAAGCACAGAAGGAAGAAGACATGGCTCTTGCAGACCCACTGGATCTTTCAGACACCTTTTTTTTCCACTTAGGAATGCAGTAGATGTCAAACAGACCAGAAGTGTAAAAACAAGCGTTTTCAAACATGGTTTATAATAAACCCCTCTCCCCTACATTTCTAGTCACATGCAATCTGTTTGGCAACAACATCAGTTGCTTGCATGTAGCAGCAATAATATGAAAATGAGCATGTGTGTGGGGGGGAGTGTATGTGTATGTATATTATATGCATACACACACACACAAAGCAAAATAAGTTATTGTGTGTGTATATGTGTGTACACACACACACACATTACTTTTCCTATTATTTCTTTTTATTTATATATTATATTAATATTATATAATAAATAATATACTTTAGCAGCTGTAAACAAGAAGAAAACCTATGGTGCACAGATCATGGTTTGGAAATTTCTGGTATAAAAGTGTTAGACCAGCAAGAATGAACAGTTGCTTTGATGCTGGGTTAGGTTAATGGGCAAACTATTGAGATTGCTCAAGTTTACACCTTAATATAGGTTGTTTAGACCTTTTTCAGCTTTAAGAGTTTGTGATAACATGAAGTCAAAAATACTTGAAAAACGCTTTGAAATGTTTTAATAAAAATAGTTATATAAATCTAAATAAAATAATTTAAGATCTTCAATCTTTCATTTTTCTCTTTGTCATAGGTACCGGGCCTTCATTTTTGTTCTGACCTTTTTGTTGTATGCCTCCTTCCATTTATCAAGGAAACCTATTAGTATAGTTAAGGTAAGTAGAAGTGAAACACTTACTACTTAGAATCAGAAAGATATTCAAACAAAAAAGTGCACTTTTATCTTTCATAACAACAGTGTTAAAGTTTAACCCAGAGTGGTATAAAAATTAATGATGACAATTGCATTTGGCTTACAGTAAACTTTTATAATCTTTCCTAAGAACACATCTAGAATATGGCATGTACTTATCACAAGCTCAAAACAGAAAAGCAGCGTTTCCGTATGTCATCTTAACTTTCCACATGTGAGTTAAGCAAAGTAGTTGTGTAAATGTTTTGCTGGATTGGGGCTATAAATTTAGGAAAGTTAAGACTGATGAATCGGTTACAACCATATGAATGATACAAACTAATCCTCAGAAGATTTTTTAGTCATTTGTGTTATGGTTGGCTTATTTATGATGAGTGAGTAATGCAGTGATGTCAGAGATAGCAACTGAGGTTTTTATGCCTTCAGACTTGCTGTTCAAGCTGCAAATGTTCTGCTAATAAAGTAACCCAAATTTATTTCTCATATCTGTCCTTCAGTTTTATTGTTTAACACACTGTCATTCAAATTAGTTCTTCCATACTGTTTAGAAGCACTGAACCTGTAAGCAAAATAGTTGACTAGTTATATTTAATAGTTTTATTAACAGTATTGATTTAATTTCTAGTTAGACTGGCTGACCAAAGGGTTAAAGCTGAATTTTGCATTGTTCATATGAGAACCATTATGACATCTTAGCTTAGACTATGGTTGGTTGGGGTTTGAATACAGCATGGTTTGGAAGCATATTGTTTCCAAGGATGTAGTTTTCAGTCTACGCTGGTCCTGAAAATAGTGCTAGGTTTAGCTGTTTCTAGCTTGCATTCAAGCAGTGTGTGAACATTTTCTCAGTCTAATTAATAAACAAAATTCCTTTCTGTCTGTATCTCTTGGGAAGTTTAATTTAGCTACGTGTATATTTTGTATTGCTTTCAGATTTGGTAATATGCGTGTTTCTCTCTACTGATCTTTCCAAAAGTTAGAGGGTTGGGGTTTTTTTTAACTTTTACAATAAACTGTAATATCGGTTTATTGTACTCTTGCATCACCTTTTGATATAATCTGTTAACCCATAGATCCCAATTATGCAAACTTATCGGTGTTTGCATAATTCCCATATGGAATTCTAGTAATACAAGCTCCTCATAGACTCAAAGGCCATGTGCAGACATTTGGTTCCCTGGCATACCTTGTGCTACTGCTACTTATCCCCAGAGAACACCTGTGCCACACACTCTCTGGTGCATGGCAAGTTACCCCGGGTGGGGTAGGGGAGGCTGGGGCTGGCAACTTGTGCCGGCCCCAGCAGACTTACCTGTGGGCTGGAGAAACTGCAGCTGTGGTGCTCGTGCAGCTTGGAGCCTGACCAGCAGCTGGAGCATGGCTTTGGCAGGCCAGGCTCTAGTTTTGAGTGGTGCGTGCTGCAGCCACGTGCGCCACCCTGCTTTTATCCATGCAGGGTTTTTTGACCCTGGGATCTCCTAGGAGGAATGTTTGAGAGAGAAACTGAAAGACAGCATGAAAGGCAAGGATTTTGGACTAACTGCATAGTTGGGATAAAGGTAGACACAGTTTTAAATGCAAAGGTTTTGTCAGGAGAGAAGCAAGCAAGTTTCTCAGCATTATCAGGTGGCATAAGAACAAATTGCTCTTATTTACTGCAGTATCAATCCAGCTTGGTGTTGCTGAACTTGACAGAGCTATTAAGGATTTACAGCAGTCTGTCTGTGTTCACAGACTTTACATACAAGTGTTTTTGGATAAATACACCCTTCCTTTTTATACTCTTTAAATATAATGTGGTTTCCTTGATTGAGGTGACCTGCTCGTGTTTGACTTGTGTAATATAATGTACCATTGAAATGTGTTCATTGACAACTTTGGCAGCTGTTGGGTGACCTGGGCCTCTTCCCAGCATGATGTTTAGTGTGCTGTGCTGTTGCAGATGCCACCTTCAAATGAGATGTTCAGTCTGAATCCTGACTGATCTCTGATCTCCAAAGCACTTGTTGTGAGACTCCAACTGCTGAATCTGATGAGAGGCAAAATCTAATTGTCAATCTGAATTTCTCTTGCAGTTTCGGTTGAATGTAATTTTTCTCCTGTGCCTGCCTTATACAGTCAAATGCTATTACTCTTCCAGGCTTTAATATTGAGTGAAATGATACCTCTACAATATACTGGCCCCAATCATGTGCAGAAATTTATGCACATGCTTAGCAGTATGCTCTGTCAGAAATCCATTGACCTCAACAGCAGGATTCACAGCCCATAGTTAAACGTATACACAATTGCCTATTGGACTTTTATTAGTGTAGGACCTAATTCTGCTACCAGTTAAGCCAATGGCAAAACTTCCTTTGACTTCTAGTAATCCTGGGACTATGTTATCCCAATCTTATACCAATATAACATTGACTAATGAGGCCAAAATTTGACCCAATATTTGTAAAGTATTTTGAGATCCCTCAGAACAAACAGCACTATAGCAGAGTTTATTAGCCACACGGCCACTCTAGGGGGATCTGGTCCAAATACATTCATGTGTGTTAATTTTAATGAATTCAGTGGGCTTTGATTCAAGCCCCTAAATAAGCCGACTTGTTAAATTTGCTACTGCAGGATTCAGCCGCGAATGAGTTTTCAAATTCTCTTTCTGTGTTAGGGAGAACTACATAAGCACTGTGCTGCTTCAACTGAAGTTGAACTCCACTCCTACAAAGAATATGCTACCCAGAGTCAGCCTGTTAAAAAGTTACCTAATGAGTCTCAATGTGGTTGGGAGCCATTTGGTGAGCTCTTTCACATGTTCATTTTGTAACAGTGGTATTTATAGATGTGCTGGAACTTATTATTTATCACAGGGATTTTTCACGTGGAGACATGGACAGAAGAGGCATGGGTTTTGTATTTAAATGTTGACTAATCTGCTGTTGTGAATCTTCTAAATCAGGGCTGTCCAACTGCTGGGCATGCCACACCCCTGCTCCAGCCATGTGTGTCACGCAGGGAGCTTGGTTCTCGCGTCCTCTCCCATCCAGCCTCCCCCCAGTCCCCACTGCAGCACATGCAGGCCAGCTCTTTCCTACCGTATGTACAGTACCCCCTCCTTTCCCAGTCTCACACCCACCTGAAGTGCTGGCAGCCTGGTTCCTGTCTCTCACATGCACAGAATGAGCAGCCTGGCTTCCACCCTTGCTGCACACACAGCATAGGTACCCCAGTCCCTCCTGCTGCACCTCCCCACCGTCAGGAGCAAGAAGGTGGAAGAGGGCAAGGAAGCCCAAAGAACCTGTCTGCCACAGCAGGACCAACAATGCAGGGAGGGGGACAGGCAGTGGCTGCTCTGCCAGTTGGAGAGATCTGATCTAAATTTAAATTAAACTCTGTTAACTCCCGTTCAATAACTTCTTTCCATTGCAAATTGAAACAACCATCTCACCAGTGAGGACCCAACACCTTTGAAAGTGTGGGGATTTCTAAGGTGCCTAAATATTTTTAGGCTTTTGCATTTTCTTGCTTGCTTTCCTTCTTTCCTTCCTTCTTTCTAGACTTGTGTAAATAAATTGTATTTTGCTAATATATTTGTCTTCCATTTCCAAATGTTGTTTTGAGACAAACACTTACTAGTATTTTCATTGTAATGAATAGCTGAAAATACAAAATGAAAAGCTTTAAGAAACAGACATGTTCTTTATTTCTGCTGGAATATTCTCTTAAAACTAAAAAAGCATATTAGAAAAAAATTAGAAAAAGATGCATGCATGAAATATATAATGGGTTGAAAGCTCCCAATTCCAGATGCAATGGTTTCTGATTTGTTTTGCAAATGTGTTATTTAGATAAGAACAACTACAAGCAACTACTGGGAGCACTGGATTATTCATTTCTATGTGCTTATGCAATTGGAATGTATTTAAGGTAATTCTTTTATACCTTTTGAAAACTACTAATATAAATGGCTGAACTGCTTCACATGTATTGTCCTTCATCACTGGCAAGTTTCTAAGGAGTGATCATTGAAAGGGAAAATTTGGATAGCCACATACATTCAAATCCTGGATCTTGTCACTTTGAAATTATACCCGTCTTGAAACCCATATTATGGTAAACTCTGTAGGTGTGTAAGAAAGATTCCTTCTTCTCCCTTGGGCAGGCATGTATTTAAAGTCTCAACCTAGCTAACTTATCTACATCAGTATGACAGTAAAAACTTTTCAGCAAATGATTCTATAAATGAATCATTTCTATTATGACTACAGTGAAACTTCTTTGAAAAAAGGGGGGTGTTCTCATGTCAGCATCTGGCATTCAGTGAACTGAATATTGGCCGTTTAACTCTAGCGAATGATACAGATTGCTCAGTTTAATATTTCTGCTGACACTTGTCAATAAATCCTTGGTTAGAATGTTAGTTCTCTTGTTCTGGCTCTGGCTACATAGTACCCTTGCCATGCCTGGGGGACAGCACTTTCAAGCACATTACTGATGTGGACAGGTTGCTTCCCAAACTGGAAGAAGTGCTACTGAGGCCCCCTTTACACATTACAGGTATGATGCAATTAACTGGCTAATTGCACAGTTAACTGAGACCAACTACACATGCAAAGTACCTATCATGCCATAAAAAGGTCCAACCAGCTATAAAGTTAGACCTCAAAAATGTGTTCTAATTTTATAGCTGGTTGCTACCCAGATTTAATTTACTTGTTTAACAGGGTCTGCCCCTGCAGCTGAGAACTCTGTCAGCGGACTCTCCATCCCAGCAGTGGCCCCATGCACAGCTGGATCTGAGTCCCACACCTGATGGGACTCTTAGCCATGGCTGTATCCCACTCGCAGCCGGGCAGTGCCCCATCAGGCACGAGACACTCAGCCCTGATTGTGTGTGGGGTGCAGCCAGGGACATGTGTCTTGTCAGCTGTGGGACTTGCAGCTGCAGGAGCTTGCTGTTAGCCAGTGCAGAGGGAACCCAGGATAGTAGTCCCAGGCTCCCCCTGTACTGGCAGTAAGGCATGATAAGATCTGATGCTGGATCCCATGTGTGGCATGGCAGGAGACACAATTGGGTGGATTGCATGTTAGATCCCATTGTGACTTTACCTGCATGTGTTAAATGGGCCCTGAGAGATGGTGCTAATTAGTCCCTTTTGCAGTACCACATGAACATGGGTAGCCTGCTCCCAATTTCAGAGGCTGCCTTTCTAGAGCAGCATAGGGACCTAGAAGGCTCACTCTGGAACACAGTAAGGTTTCAGGTCAGACATGACTTATATGTCTGAATGCGGGTACTATTCTCCTCCAGTAACTCTTGTTAAATAAACATTTTCTCCTCTTTTCCTGCATGCTCTCAGTGGCATTATAGGCGAGCGACTACCCATCCGGTACTACTTGACAGCTGGAATGCTTGCCAGTGGACTCTTCACCGCAATGTTTGGCTTTGGCTATTTCTATAATGTGCATAATCTATGGTTCTACTTGGTGGCTCAGGTAGGCATCCTGCTGTTTTTGTTTCCCTAAATTTTTTGATTTTCCAGAGTGCTTATTATAGCAGCTTGTCTGTTTTTAAATACGAATACTACTTCATGGTTAAATGGCTAGATAAAACCAACTGAACTGCATTTGCTCAGAATGGAATAACAGACTGCTTGCCATACCTTTTCTAGAAATACACTGTGTCCTAAAATTATTATTTGTTAAATGAAGAAGTTGAACAGAATTTTTTTGAAGAAACTATTTGAGAGTCCAAATAGATTTACAAACAGTTAATCAGCTACATTTTAAGAAACTCTTTTACTGAACTGCCATGATCTGAATATAGGATACTGTTTTTTTTGTTGGAAATAAGTGTTTAAGAGGCTCAAACAGAGAAGTTTTGTGCACTGGTGTATTAAAGATCTTCCCAGGCATCGCAACAAAGCCACAGGAGGAGGGACTTTCCAAAGCATCTGTGCTTCTATCTGAAGCCAATGGGAATTCTTGTTGGCTTCAGCAGAATTTGAGTCAGGCTCTTGATGGGACTTGAGCTTCTAAGTCATTTAAACATTTGAAAACGTGCACTCAGAAGAACTAACTTAGTTCTCATAAGTAAGAAACAACAGTTTGAGTGAATGCATATTGTTGAGATGATGCATATTGTACTGCATCTGCTGCATTCACGACAGAATTTTAGATTGGAATTGTCAAAGGAGCCTGAGGAAGTAAGGCATGAGGTCCTTGGGAATTGGGGACATAACTCATTTCTTTGCACTCCATTGAAAATCCCAGTTTAAGCACTTGGAATGTCTTTCAGCCTCAGACTTCTGACTGAATTTTGTCTGTTAAATATATGCCTTCAAAATATAAGTGCGTGTGTGTGTGTGTACCCCCCCTCTCATATATACACACATACACATACATACATACATACACAGATATATAGATCTAGCTATTTGGATATCTATAGATATCTATATCTATATACCAAGTGGCAGATAGATGCGGGAGTGTAATATATACAAAAATAAAAATTAGGTAAGAGTGAGAGAGAGATCTTGTGTCTTATTCCATTTAAAAAATGACATCTTAGATTGTAAAACCTGATGGAAGACTCTTTGTATCACTTCTTTGTACACAGACATTGCCACACTTTCAAATTAGGGCAAAAATTAAAAAAAAAAAAATTAAAAAAAAAGTTCAGACATGCAGTTCTCAGCTCTCCTAGCTCTTTTTTTTTTTTAGCTCTGTCAGGTTCAGTATCCTCATTGGCAAGCTCATAAATAGGACCTTAATTTGCTGCAAGTTTCATCATTAATAGCTTTACTATTAATTAATAACTAGCATAAAAGAAAGAGGTGTAGGTACAAATATTATCATCTTTATGTGAAGAAGGGTATACAACAATATTAATTTCAAAATTGAAAGTGTCATATGGGCTTATTGTTGTCCTACACAGGATTTCCTAAAAGATGTACTTGACATAAATTGCATAGGGATTTCTTATTCATACATTTCCCTGTAATATGCTTGCAGATTGCTAATGGATTGGTGCAGACTACTGGCTGGCCTAGTGTAGTTACCTGTATTGGCAACTGGTTTGGAAAAGGAAGGTAAATATATATGTACACATTTTTCAAAGTACTTGCGATATTTGTAGGTCATTGCAAATATATTTATAACAATGCAAATATTTCCATTTAGTTTCAGTGGGGGGGTGGTATTTGAATTAGGTAAACCTTTCAGATGATTCCTAAAAATAATTTGATGGCAATTAGCTTATCTGAATAGTTCAAGAAATAATATTTTGTATTATAGTGATTTTATATTCTAATTTTCTATTTATATTTTATTTTCTCAAAGTATTTCGGAGTGGAATTTACAGGAAGTCTTGAAAAAATTCTCTTTAAAATCAAGATACAGGCTGCTATTGTGCTGTCAGTTTTAAATGGAATTTTTTGTGTCTTTAACTTGCATAAAAATGTCACGGTGTGACTAAAAATAAATATTGGCATAAGGCATGCTTGTTTACAACACTTTTAATTAAAATGCTTTGAATTTTCATAAAAAGAGCTGTGTGGCAAATGATGTAATGACGTGTTTTGTCATTTCTTACAGCTCTTCTCTTTATTTTTTTTTAAATGGCCACCTCTTCCAATCCTCCTGAGAGTGTCATTTTACTAGTACTTTGTAAAGTTATGTGGTAGTCTTCATAGCACTGCAGTAGCTACAAAGTACATCCATCACCGCGAATGGCAGTAGCATAGAAATAATAATCAGTAACGCTGCTCTAGCTTGAAATGTCTCTTACAGCTATCATTGTATGAACACTGTAATCAGTAAGACCAAGAGAAAGGATGTACAAAAATAAAGGGTGATTTCTATATCATGGGATGTAGAAGAAAATATATAGTGAAGAAAACATAGGGGCTCAAACCAGTTTGCAAAAGCTCCAGAGCTCTGTTTGATCCATGTTGTGAAATTGGAAGTGCATTACCAAACCTAGCAAGATGAAGTGCAGCTGGGTAAATAGAATTTACCATTTCCAGTTTTGCACCATATAATATACGGTCTGTTGCTCTTAGGAGGGAGGATGGTGGACCTGTGAATACAACAGTATGTTGAGACTTGCATTATCTGAATTCCAGCCCTGACTTTGCTCTGAAAATTAGTACCTGCTTCACTACCAGAAAAGTTGCTTTCTTACCTTGAATTAGCTAACTCCAAGGTAAAATCATATTGTCATAGTCACACAAGTTAGCAGGTTGAGTTAAAGAGCGGGGTAACCTCCTTGAGTATGTCTACATTGCCTCCCTGACGAGCCTGGGTGCCACCCTTAATGCCTCCCCCACCCCCCCCCCCCCCCCCCCCCCCCCCCACTTCCTTCTGCTCCATACACACCAACTCCCCAAAATGAGGCAGTGGAGTTTCTTCTAAAGCAGCCCTAAGCATGTGCCCAGCAATGCTCATCGGTTCTGTGTCTCTGGACTGTTCATTGGCACACATTCAGCACTTTTCTGAGGCAGCTGCATTTGCCTTGTTGCCAAAATTTGGTCCACATGGAGCAGGAGTGAATGAACAGAACAGGCTTCATAACAATGCTCCCAGGTACACATGGAGGCAGTGCAGATCTGCACAGATTACATTCCTCCCATAGTCCTTAGGTTATCTTCTAGCTCATGTGAAAGTAACAGTCTGCCTTGTCTTCCCCTAGGATTATACCTCACGTTAGGAACACAACTGGTTTTTCCCCCTCTAGAGAAAACACAGCCATAGGGACTGACCCCAGACACCTTGAACCTATATAGAAGATCATTTCATTCACTTCAATAGACTTTGAAGCAGGCCTTTAGAGCCCAGACATGTAGGTGCTCAGTACAAGACCTGTGTTGCATAGAAGGAAGTTCTTCATTAATGTTGAGGTGTGGTGAGTCTGCCACACCTCAACATGACACACCGTAGCCTGAAGCATAGGGATCTTTTTTGGAACAATAAGGCTTCAAACAACTTTTCCTCATTGGAGACAGCAGTGGTGACTAGTTGTTCTTTGTTATGCTTTTCTCCACCTAACAATGTTCCCAAGCAGAATAACTGAAATTGTCCTCTTTTTTTGAACACAGGAGAGGTTTCATCATGGGAATCTGGAATTCTCACACTTCAGTGGGAAACATCTTGGGATCACTAATTGCTGCTTATTGGGTATCTTCCTGCTGGGGTCTGTCTTTTGTGGTTCCTGGTGTTATAATCGCTTTGATGGGGATCATTTGTTTTCTGTTTCTTATCGAACGTGAGTATATCTTCTTTTTATTTAAATGTATACAAAATGGATATGAATATCCACTGGATAAGTTAAAGTAGGCAATGCCATGTGTTTCCCAAAGGGTTTTTACATAAATAAACATCCACCCAGCTATTCTGACCTTCAAACTGCTTCCTTCCCATAAGTCTTGATAGAGAAAAAGATGCCTGCTTTCAAGAATTAATATATTCAGGCTCCAACAAGCTAGGAGGGGAGAGGGAGTCTAAATCACAGTCCAATCTCCACCCGTGCCTCTCTCATTTGTATATTCTTGAGGCATAATACACAGCAACAGACTGAAACTATCCTGCTTGCCCCAAACCCATATATTATTTTGATTCTAGCATTATTAAATTCAGTCCCAAAAAGATGAAGCAAGTTCAGAATCAGTTCAAGAATAGCAGATTCTGGGTATTCCTAATCTGATAGCCAGGATCACCTTCATTTAATTTAATATACCTGGCTGAGGATGATTGAATGATTGTGCTTTTTGTAGGCTAAGTACTAAAGAAAACAAAACAATCCTAATTTAGGTGAAAAGGAATGATGCTTTTTTAAACATAAATTGTGTCTAAAACAGAAAGCTTTTTGCTGCTTTAACCATCCTGGTACAGTGGTCCTAGATAATTCGTACCACATGGTTCACTTAATTTACTCTAGTACCTCCCAGGGTTGTAGCAGTGGCAACCCTACAGTGCGGAGCCTGACTGGCAGCGGAGCTCGACTCCAGCCAGCCAGGCTTCGGCTTTGGGTGGTGCACGCTGCTGCCATGTGTGCTACTCTGCTTTTTTTGTCCACAGGTTTTTTTTTGCCCCCTGGATATCCCTTGCAGCTCGGAGAACAACTGAGCATGCAGTACGTGGTGCTGCAGATGTGCCTGTGGCCCCACGTACTACGTGGCCACACTCCTGTACGCAGCCTATCAGTGTAGTTTATTCTGGCATGGGAAGCAAAAGTAATTATATAAAGCATTCCTATATCTGTATAACTATGTCTGTACTAGGGCTTATGCTGTTATAGCTGTATTGTCAGCAAGGGGTATGATTTGTGCTGGTGAAACTTTTCTAGACCCTGCCTTAATGTCAGCAATGTTTCAGGAATAAGATCCATTCTGTGTGGTTTTTCAACTACCTGTGTATACTCTTATATTTCAGATCCTAAAGACATCAATTGCTCTTGCACACCGCCCAGTGTAAGTCAACACTTTTTTTTCTGTTTTTATTGCTCTTTTCCACTGCCATATTCATATTTATGTTAATTACTAGGGACCAACCAAGGACAGGCATGACACCAGGCATTGTAGTAAATATTCCCTGCTCCAAAAGAACTTAGTGTAGATCTGGATTCGGCAACTTTTCAGAGCAGCGGGTTGCTGCTTGTGACCTGGACACTGCTGCAGGCCACCAGTCCCTTCTGCCCCATTGCTAGGGTGTCCATCATAGAGGGTTCGGTTGTCCTCTGTCATCTATTGATACAAAACCAGACGCCTTTATGTCCTCTATTTTTCTCTTGAAGAGAGAGTTGGGTTTCATATCAATAGAGGACAGAGTAGCAGAAAACCAGAATGTCCTCTGTGATGGCCACCCTACCCACTACTGCCACAGGCCCTGGCTCCTCTCCTCTGCTACATACCACCAATACATACCCAGTGGCAGTGAGGAGGGGTAAATTCTGCAGCAGTGGTGAGTGGCATATGCCATAGGGGGGCTGGGAGTAGTGGATAATGAGGGACTGGGGGAGAGGAAAGGGACTTGGCAGTGTGGGGAAGAAAGGGGTGGCAGGGACTTGTCAGGCCAAGCTACATGCCCCTAGTCCCCCATGCTGCTGCGGGACAGATCCAAGCACTTCACAGACCAAAACCATGCCTATGGGCTGTAAGTTGGTCTAGATAGATAAGAAAGCTACAGGTTAGGGGAAGAGGTGAAGTGAGTGGCGTGGAACCTGTGATGGCAGCAGGCAGCTCTATTTGTAGGGGAGAGGAGGGAAGGGGTTAATTAAGAGGAGATAACATGAAGGAAAGGGAATCTGGTAGATGCGAGTTGAAGCAAACATGAGGAAGAGAATTGGAGCAAATAACCCATCAATTAGGAATTGCTCTTGTCTTTCTTTTCTTTTTTTTAATGTGGATAAAATTGACAAATTACATCCTATATCATAAGAATGTAGCTGTAATGAGGAAAAAAGCCCTCTAGTATAAACCTGAACAAATGAGGAAGGACTGTAGCATTATATTGACTTTTCTCTTAATCTCCAATAAATCTTTGGAATTTAAATGCCATATGGCTGCTGGCACCAACCCCATTCATTTTGCTGCTGGTAGAGTATTTAAGATTTTAAAGGGCAGCCTGGATACCACCTCACTTCCAAAGGACTGCTGCATTGGAAGGAGTACCAGTTGCTATGAAGAAACTGTACCTTGTATTTAGTTTTATTTGTTACATATGGCTCAGGCTTCTGTCTTCATGCTGGTAAATACAATCTTTTTTGAAACAGACAGTGTGAAAATCCAGTGTCTGAGACCGATCGCTCTTTATGGAGAGAGGTTTTTTGCTTGTTTTTTGCGAGGGGAGGGAGGAAAAGAGGGGAAAGTCCTGTCATTCTGCTTTTAATGTTGATCTAATTATTGTAAAAGTAACATGTACAACCCTTTACTTGTGGTAGCACAATTCCATAAGTGTAAAATTAACAGTGGACTGACACTGAAAATCCCTGAACTGGAATACCTTCACCCAGTCTGGAAGAATTAGGGGCAAAACTGTACCAATACGTGTGTTACATCGGGTTATGTTTTGTCCATTGATGTCAATCCCAGCATAGTGGTTTGCTAAAGGCAAACAAGTTATTATCTACTCCCCTGCTGCCTTGTGATGAGGCATAATGATGGCTACCTACTGCCAGAACTACCTCAGGATAGCTGTACATCTATCCATTCCTGAACCTGGTGTAATTTCCAATGATATGGAAAACTGATGTATTTAATGCTAGCACATCTATTCATCTGTCTGCGGCCGTGGATTCTGAACACTCGCACAAAGAATCATGTTTACCTGGCTGCGACTATTTAAGGAAGCACTTGCCAATTACTTTTTCATGCAGACCTTAGATTTTAACTGCTTTAAATGTGCGTGCTAAACTATTGTTTGTTTAGCTGCTATTAAAGTAGGTTGGGAAATAGTTTAGGCCCCACTGCTGCAATAACTTACCCATGTGGTTGACATAGAAGTTAATGGGACTGCTCTGGAATGCAAAGTAATAAATGTAAAAGGCTGTGTGAAACATTAGATAAAATCTAAAGCATACCATAATCTGTACTGGTGTTAGCAAGCACCTGTTTAAGATGCACCTTCCTTTTTAAGTGTAGATATAACCTAAATGGAAAGGGATAGGTTAGAAGAAATATTGGGCAAAGAGAGAGAACAAAGTGTAAAATAGAGCTTTAGCCATATTAGTATGGTGGTATCCTGCTACCAAAAAGGCACATATGCTGTATGCTTGATTTATGAATATTATGCATGTGTGTATGCGAGTGCATATGTACATCTGGAAAACATGTGTAGACAGTTTCCATGTCAGTTTTGACTTTGGCGAATGTTTGCTGGTAGCGTAACCAAAAGCTATACCAGCATGTTGCTTCAGCCAGCAGGTAGACTCAAAGATTCCTGGGGTTCTGCAACATTTCTGAAGCAAGTGAATAATTTTATGGGTTTTGTTTTGTTTTTAATTCTCTGGGAAGAAAGCAGACCAGGTGGTTCATCACAATGAAATCTTCAGGAGTGTAGCTGCCTCCCCCCACCCTGTCCACAACCAACCCATACAGGCTTACTATAATAAGGATTGATCACGGCCTCATCTATATCCCTTGCTACTAACTCTAAAGTCAAATTGTGTGTTTACAGTATATTCCCCCTTCCCATCTGTTTTAAAGCTGTTGCCTCTCTAATTTTGAGTGCCTTCCTGGTCTTGCATAGAAAATTAGGGTAACTAATTGTTTCTGTAGCATGTTTCATTTCTTACATTGACACCTCTTCTTTCTCTTCTCCTTTTCAAATGAACTAGCCTTAATCTTTTCAGCCTCTCTATCTGTGAAAGGCCCATTATAAAGCTTCTTATCACTTTTAATTACCACTCTTTGGAACTTAATTTTAAGTTTTGCTTTATCAGGAATAGATTAGGTGTCTACATACATCTTCCGTTGGAATTCTCCATTTTTGCATACATCTGTAATCTCATCCTTGATTGAGGTTACGTGAATCTCACTTTTTCATATTTGTATGTTTTGCTGTAGATTGAGAAATAATTTGAGTAGTCTAGCTGTTGGGTACAGTGGCTTTAGAGAAACATGTATTCAGAATTAGACGTATGCTTAATTGCATTACATTTCATATCAGTGCACTATTACTGGAAAATATAACAAAGAGCTCTGCACAGTTAATCACTATTATATCTTGCCAAAAGTTGACCTGAACAAGTTACCTTCAGCTGTAACTCTCCGGATGTTTAACATAAATCTGTCATTTTTTTTTAAAGGTTATTTTCTGGCAGTTACCTTTCCCCACAAAAATGTCCTTTGACTTAATCTTCTCAGGGATATCAACAAGATCACTACCCCACATCCAACCTCATTGTCTGGTGACGCACTTGACCTACTGTTTCCCTGGAAACCTTGCTTTCCAGAGCACAAAGTGTCCTTCTCTTTCTCCCACCCCCAGAGATTCTCATTTGCAAATCGCATAGATGACTTGAAAACACATTTTTTCTCTTGGACTTCCTTCAGAAATAGGTAAATCTCAATTTTGGGGACTAAATCCTTGGAAGTGGCATTGTGTCATTAGGATTGGGTGAAAACCTTGCATTTAAAATATGTCGTCTGTTAGGTACTAAGCGCCCTCGACTCCTGTTCATTTTGGCTCATTTGCATTCTCTGTTCACTACAGATTTTATTTTGGAAGTTAAACCAATGAATAATATTAATTAAAAAAATAGGGTAAACGGAGTTAGAAATACAAATATTACAGCAACCAATGAAATAAATGAGAGTTGAAAGAACAATAAAGCAGACTGCCAGAGAGCAGATTTAATGGTATTTGTAATAAGAAAAGAAATGTACAGCAGCCTATGCACATTTAGTAGCTTTTTAAATATTAGTATTGCTTCTAATCTCTCTTTCACTTCCCTTGTAACATAAGGTGTAGTCATAACTGATCAATATGCATGAACATGCTGCAACTATCTTTTTATAGTCTAAGCATCTTTTTATATGGCTTTGCTGTTCTCTAGGAAAATTGGTCCTTTTAAACTCCTGTGCTAAAATGCTTCTACATCTAGAAGATATGAGGCTGAATCTTCTTTCTTCTCTTCAGAAGATAAAGTCTGATCATTAAACATGCTGCATCAGTCTAGCCGTCATCTCCATACATTTCCTCTTTACCAGAGTAAATCTTGTTTATGACAATTGAATGAAAAAGTCATCGTGGGGGCGGGGGGTGCGTGTGTGTGTGTGTGTATGCTGAGCCACTGGAAAAAGATACAGCCAGCTTTTCCCCAAATAATAGATTTTGTCTGCCCAAGGAGACAACATTTTAATTTATTTTCCAACAATGAGTATTTCTAAGAATCTGTATTTTTGTGGAACCCTCCTTTTTCATGCAGGAAAACTACTTGCATTCTAGACACTCAGGACTGCACTCTCCCATTTTGGATTGTGTAAACGCAGCCCAAGTCACCTCTTATAAATTTTCTGCTCTGCAGAACTGATGCAGTAAATAAATAATGCTTCTTCTAAAAATTAATCAAAACATAACTATATACTTTCTTTTGAGAAATATCTGGCTGATACCTTACCTTCAATTAAGATTTCAGATATGGACAGACCAGTCTTTTCTGACTCTGCACATTTAACGTGGCATAGAGTGTACTGAATCTTCTACAAACAAATATCTCACCCCTTAGAAGTACATAGTGACTCCCCGTGATTCTTATGTAATGTTATGTCCAAATGAACATGGATCAAAGTTCTCATTAGCAGCCTGTAAATACGTATTCAAGTTTTGCATTTAATCTAACCAATAAACTCAATTGGTTGGATTAAATGCACTGGCAAATCTTTCTAGACAAAGGGTTGTAGAGTGGTGTTTTTCCAGAAATATGGTTTCAGTGGGCACATCTATCTGAGATGCTGACCGCGCAGTAGCCTGATACTACTGTGCAGTAGCGTCTCATGGCAAAAACAGTGCCGAGATGCTACTGCACAGTAGTATTAGGTTACTGTGCAGTAGCGTCTCTTAAAAGGCGTCCGCTGGCACTACTGTGCAGTAACTCCGGCTACTGTGCATTTATTTAGTACTTGCTTATACAAGGACTAAATAAATGCACAGTAACCACTGCTCACTGGTGCCTCATGTAGACACACCCAGTATGTACTGAATCGCAATTGTACATGCAAAGGAAAAGCTGTTTGTTCAGAAATCAGATACTTCGTCCTGTTTAAGTTGGGGCCCAGAAATCCCCCGTGAAAGGAAGCAAGGTCAGATCCCTGATGAGGCTACTCCTAAAACTACCACCACAGCTACCACCCTCATGCTCCTTTCCAGGGCACTGAAAGGTAAAATGGGTATAAGACAATGTCAGAAACCTTTATCTTCAGTGCTTCAGTGGATGGGGAAAGGTTGTGTGTGAGGAAAGGGGAAGAAAGTTTTTCCAAACTGATCAGTTTATAGCTGCCAGTCAGGAAGCCTAATTATGACCAAGTATTGTTACAAAATGTAGATTAGTGTTCAGCAGTTGTGTGTGTGGTGGGGGGGATATTTAAACCATTAGGAGAAATGAGTTCACAGTCTGCACACCCTGCACTTCTCTATATATATCATACATGTTGCAATGAGACTATAAAAAGATGGCTTCTCAGTCACATTTTCTGCTGATTACGTTTCACACAGCTCCATATGAATTCAAAGTAACTAGGATGCACAGTGATCAAATACGAAGTCTTTCATTTGGGCATACATCTTTGTAATGAAAAATGAACATCTCTGGTATGATAAAGTAAGGTCTAATGCTTGAAGTTAGCATAAATAACTTTTTGTAAAGTAGTAGTTTAAAAAATCATGGGTTTTGTCTTCTTTTCTTTTCCCCAGAGCTCAAGGACTTACATGAATGGTACAAATAGATTCAGAGTCCAGAAACCAAACTTAAATACTAAGGAAACTAGCCAATCTCAGGTAAAGTTAAATGAAACTTTATTAAGTTACCAGTGCACACGTTTTTTCAAAGATCAAATAGAGTCTTCACAATAAAAAGGGATTTAGCACTTCAATATTCCAGCCAGCTAAACAGCTCATAGAAGAAGATAAACACTGCAAATTTCTGGAAAGCAAGTTGCATTGCTCCAAGGGTTTTCTTTGAGTGAAATGCCCAATAATCAAGGGATGAGCAGAAACCAAAAAGCCTGCATTGAAAATTCCCCCTTTTTAGGAGACTTTTATTTTCCTAATGAAATAATTATTGTAAAATGGGTCACAGATACAAATTTTTCACCTAAAACTGCTGAACAGAGTAATGTGCTAGACAGCACAGGGGACACAGAAACAGAACACAACTCTACCTTTCTCTTTAGATCTTTTTGTTTATCAAATATACCGATCCTGAGAGAAGTTAATTGATTTTTTTTTTAAATCAGCAAGTAAAAGAGAAGCTGTTTCTCCCACTCATACTAATCAATTTTCTTCATGGTTCAAAGTCACTAAAACCAATAGGATTGGCTTTAGAAAAGCCAATTTAGGCTTTTCCTTTTAGGCTTTTCCTTTTAGGATTTTCTAAGAGCCAATCCTTTAGGATTGGCTCTTAGAAATCAAATCCATTGATTTCTAAGAGCATGGCTCAGACCCTTACTGAGCAGCAGGTGGGATTTATGTTGGCATAGTGAATCACGTTATACCTGAACCTGTCCAGAGGTAATGCTGGATATTAGGTGAAGGGATATGGGTAGGACCATAGCACGTAAACTGAATGTCTGCTAGTTGGAATGAGCATAGTTTACCAAATTAGGACACAGCATTTGCCAACTGACCAGCAGAAAGTGAGCCCTGAAATCCACAGTGTTTACACAGTGATACGTGCTTTGGACTGTGTTAACCACTTTTTTTCGTATGTTCAAAAAACTGTTAAACTTGAGTTGGCTTCAAGCAGCTTTGTAAGTAGAAGGGTGATGATGCAGTGTGTTTGAAATAGTGGGGGTTCAGTCTCCATTTCCTGCAAAAAAAAAGTCCAAGCTCGTGTACTTCCATTGTGTTCACCCTGCTATTTATGTGGCAAGTGAATTCATTTGAAGGACTATCCAAGGGAAGGAATTGAATTTTAAACAGTTGGAGTTTATTCATAGGAATTCCATTTTAAGTTAAAAAAAAAAAATCATTTACAAATGTTGGTTTGAATCTAACGCTTTTGTTGCATCACTCCTTGCGGTGGACACTTTGAAATCTTTTATGACAAAACTGAGTGTGTAGTCATTAAAACTTTCCACACCAAATTTTGACCAGCTCTCCTCCATTATCTTTGTGTTCAGTCAAACTAACCAAACCACTCACCTAGATTTATTCAGTGTCCACAATAAACTACTTGAATACAATCTGCGGCCCAGAAATGATTTGCCAGCGCTATTCAGTGAATGCTTTTTAAACAATGGATGAAAACGTGTGTCAGTGGCTGGGGGGTTTTTGGTGGGTTTTTTGTTTGTTTGTTGTTGGGCATGGGGTTTAGACAATTCCTGAGCACAAAAAACCTAAATAAAACTTCCAACTTCCTGGCTGTAAATTGCTGTTAAAGCACTAGTTACAACTTTCACTAATTACCCTTACTGTTCAGTCTCTGCAGAGAGATTAAATCAACCGAATTGGCAGAGACTCTATCCACCTACCCTGAGAGGGACTTCTTTGTGAACATGAGAGGTGTGCTGACAAGGTAGCGTGGGAGCCCTCGCTGCTATACCTTATCAGATAGCATACCTCTTCCCTGGGCTGTACTTGTCTGGAATACAAGGAAATAGCAAGGCATAAAGGCATCCACTGCTCTTGCTTTTATGACCCCACACTTTCCCCTCTGACCAAGAAGTGGTAATCTTGTTCCTGTTAAAGGAGAATTGAGTGTGATTGCTTATTTTTACAGTGGGCATCTTTTAGCTATGCTGAGCTGATTATCATTGTTTAACTTTTGTGCCTGTACAAACAGCAGATGTTCAGCAGTTTTGAACTGGCCTATTTCTAGCATGGCAGACTGGCAGCTCTTTTTGATTCTTAGCTGACCATTCTACATGCTATAAAACGAAAGCAAGTACTGAGTGTAAGTGATGATTGAAAGCAAGCTGTATTCTAGGTGCATGACCTGAATACCTCCCTGTGTTGCCTGTCATGTCAGGTTGGCTTCTTAAATTATATGGAATTGAGCAATAATGAACCCTTCCCCATAGGTCAGAAGTGTACCCTATGTCTAGTTACTGCTTCTGACAAGAGGACAAAGCTAAACAGCATTATCCCTGTCAAGGCCAAATTGCTTTTTTCTTCATTCAGCCACGTCCAGCAGTTAATCCCATATTATTGATGAATATCTCCAACATGAATTTCTAAAATAAGCTATTTATGTGTGTGCTGGTAATTCCACTTCAAAATTCTAATCTCTATGCTTTTATGTATTTAAAATTATTTTTTGAGAAATGAGCAGCATTTACTCAGCCCATTCCAGTTGGGCTTATTGTGTTTAAAAATCCTGGGGAGTTTTCCTTCATCTTCAGTCAAGCAAAACTCACACTGAAATCAATGGGAAGTTTGCCCACATAAAGCTGGGAGAGGTGTGACCTGTTTTTGGTTTTAATTTGTGGTTGGGATTGCTGGTTTGAATTGCAAATGTCAAAATAATTATGAAGCATCAAAGGAGTTATGGTTACTCAAAATTAAAGCTGAATTAAGTGTTGTCATCTAACTGTTGACTGTTGAGAAGACTTAAAAATCATTTGATAAAATATCCAAATGTGTTCATCTGTAATATCTGCTTCCATCTCGCTTTGTTTTAATATTAATCAGAATCTTTCCCTTGTAATTCCAAAGTTGCTGGTAGAACTGTAAGTTGCAACAGCAACCAATCTTATATTTTATTTTTACCGTTTGGCAAAGTAGTACTGATATCCACTGACAGTTTTAAAATCAACACTTCTGTCTTCAGAAATAGATGAGAGTCCTGAAATTTGAATTTGGGTTTCAGCTTCCCCAAAGTCCCATGTTAACACCAGAGATTTTAGTGAAATATGGTCTCTAGATGAAATCAGTGACTTCACATCCCCAAAGCTAGACTGGAATGTCCTGCTCATGCTAAGTGGCCTTTTACTTTTTAAGTAGTCTTGCCAAAGTCAGTGGAGTGCAGAGCCATGTACTGCTCAGTGTAAGGAAAGCTATTAGAATCTAGTTCTTCAACAAAGGTTTTAAGTTCTGCTCACTCAAAGGTGAAACTGCACGAAGGATTAGGATTGAAAATGAGGTGAGAAACAAAATTAACTTGTGAGACTCTTAAAATTAGGTACACTTTATACAGGCCTCCTTTATACTGTTGAATTTGAAGATGCAAGGAACAAAAATTCTGAAAAACAAGTTTAACATGTACATGGAATCCAGATAACGTACAATATGATGCACAAGTACTGCGAGAAGTTGTCAGTTGCAGTAGTTCAACCCCCCAGCATTCAAATTTGGTTTGCACCTTTGAATTATAAGTGAAATAGATTGGAATTTACAGTTCTATACAGGGTAAATGCTGATGTGCAACTGTTTTGCTTGAAATAAACTCGCAATACAGGCAGTGACTTGATTTCATAAGTAGAAGCAGCCTTAAACAATAATGGTTACTGACAATATCACATAACCCTCCAAATAGAAGGGATTTCAAAATCCAGATATTGTCTCCTGTACAAGTAAAAATGAAGACACTCTAATACCTTGGTGGTTTAAAACATGCGTGTTAATTTTTGTCTTTTGGGTGCGGTGATAATGGGGGAAATTGCAGTCTCCAGAGATGCAGCAGTTACTTTCTGACAATGAAAACTGTGCAACGTCACTGAACATTAACATGCCAGTCAGTGAAGAAAATAGAAATGGAACATCACCTATAAGCTTCCTTGGTGCCTTGCGAATACCTGTAAGTACAGGAATTATTCTTATTCCACAGAGATTTGGCTTTTGGCTTACAGAATTCATTTTTTTGAAATGGAGAATGGATGAGACTGATTTTCCTTTCTAGAAACTGGTATACTATTTAGGTGTCTTAACATTCAGACAAATCTTGAGAATCCTAGTGTTTTGGTCTGATGAAGTGGGAGTTGTTATCAGAGGTGGAGTGAATACAAAAAAGGAATACCTTTGGCTTCAAGGTGAACGCGGCAAAAATACATTGATTATAGCTTATAATTTTCATACAGCCAGAAAAACCAACATGCAAGTTAAACTTGCTCCTGGGTGATTTTAACTTGTAAAACATGCACTTGCACAGTACAGAACTGGCACAGAAGTTTGTTGACATTATTAATTGTGTGGATCTGTATCAACATGTGACAGAAGATAAGTGACAGGTCAGGTAATGAACTGTGAGTTGTCGGGGACAGGTGTGGGGTAGAAGCAGCAACTCGGGGAAAAATGAAGTGCTTGGAGGCTATTTTCTAACAGGCACAGAATGCCCCTTTTCTCCATGAAATCTAGGGTAAGAGACTAAGTCTAATTAGAGCTGATGAAGAATTTTCTGCTAAAATGTGTTTGCAACTGAAAATGTAGCTTCCACAGGAATTAAACTTGTCCTTATGAAAATGACTAACTTCTGTCATAAAAGTCTTTTTTTTTTTCTTTTTGATGAAAAACCCTAAACAAAATGTTTTTAATGGCGACTGGTTCCACCTGAAGGTGTGTATGGCAGTTTATTAAGCAAAATCAGAATATTTTTGAGTTGTTTCTGCATCTGCCTGCTGTCAGGCCGCAGTGACTTGTAACTCAAGCATTCCTTGTGCTTTCATGCTCTTCTATGGGCCAGGCCTCCAAAGATGAATTATGTCTTGTGTGATCCACTGTAGTCTCCTATCTGACTGACCTGTCACAGTACATCAGTGGAGTCCTAGGACCATGGTGTATCATGGGAGATGTGGTTTGGATGAGGAACCTGGCCCAGTAAGGGTATGAGGCATTCAAACTACAAGTTCAACAATTTCACTTCTAATTTTATAGTAGCTAAAATATGAATGAAATGCCTTCCAAGTTGCCTATTGACAGTTTTCATAAAAGCAGTGGGTTGTATTCAGTCCTGGTCCAAGCAAACCACCGCTCTCCAAAATGAGTTGGATTGTGCTTTGCTACAGCACAATATAATTTGGACTATTGCCAAAAGTAGCATTGTCTCTTCAGAAGATGGCTTCGCCCAAAGTAGTCTCATGCATTATGATAATTGTCATTTTCAAAAAATCTTAATTTTAAAGTGTTCTTTTATGGTTTACATTGAGAAGTGTCATGCAGCTCAATTTTTTTACACAGCAGTCTGAAAAGAAGGAAGTGACGTTTATTTCAATTTAGGGGCAATCTCTCTGAGCCCACACAAATTCAAATGAAGTCCTAGTGGAGATGATTTGGGGTCGGTCTGAATGTGGGGGAGAGATTTTGATCTTTAGATAATAGGTTAAAAATGCCTAAAATCTGCTGCTACTGACTCCTTGAGTCTTGATACCTCTCATATACTTCATTTGGCACTAACTTGTGAAAAAGAATATGTTAGATGGAGCAAAGTATGTATCGGTATGTGTGTTAATCCAACAGCACATAACGATCCCTGTGGGAGTAACACTGTGGCAGACTAGTGAAATCTCATAGAATCATGGAAAATGAGGGCTGGAAGGGACCTCAGGAGGACATCTAATCTAACAGCCTGCTCAAAGCAGGACCATCCCCAACAATATCATCCCAGCCAAGGCTTTGTCTTGCCAGATCTTAAAAATCTCCAAGGATGAATCAGAAATATCATACCACAGTCAGAGAAGGGCAAACAGTGCAGGGAGAAGAAACTGGAATAGGTTATTTAGTGGTAAAATTCACATCATCTGTACAGTAATAGCTAAATCTTACACATACTTATCAGTAGATGGAATGGGGTAAAATAATCCTCTGATTTGTAAGGGGTTATGGAGTCACTGATTTTTATCTAGAGACCACACTTAACCAAAATCTCTGATATTAACATTATGGGACTTTGGGGAAGCTGAAACCTAAATTTGTCTCAGTTTGGCTTTGCTGACCCCATGTGAGACCATGTAGCATACTGGCTGTTTAGGTCAATGTGGGGACACCCTTAAGCTACTGCAATACAAATGCCTATCTTGGTATATCCAGGAAGATGTATGAATAAAATTGGGGGCTCTCCAAAGCGGTTATGAACACTGTCTTTTGCTATTAACATTCTCTCTGTGGTTAATTTCAGAGAGTTACTGAGAAAGAAAGATACACAAGCAGAATACTGCAGTCTGCTTTGAGCATAAGTTTCGTGCTCCTAGAGCAAGAATCCCCTAAGGAATTGTTGAGAGAGGTTTAAGATGCCACTTAGATTTTCTACTCTGTTGTTTAGCATATAAACCAAGAAAAGCAACAATGACTGTTTAGGTACTAACCTTGCTTCTGTTTCTTCTTGTAGGGAGTGATAGAATTTTCCTTGTGTTTGTTATTTGCTAAATTGGTCAGTTACACTTTCCTTTTCTGGCTTCCCCTCTATATCACAAATGTAGGTAAGTATCAATGTAAAGGAAACAAATGTTTGGTTAAAAATTGTTCTTCAATTTGGTGAACTTGATTAAATAAGAATAAACATATTGCCAGGGTTGCTAATGCAGCAGGACAATTTAAAGACTGCAGTTAAGTGTACACCTCAGCGGGCACATTAATTGTACACCTCAGTGGCCACGTTGTTACTGCGCAGTCACTTAGTACTACAGTATTTTTTAATGAAATATTTTGACACTCAGAGACAAAGCTACATCACGTAAGATTTGTAGCTTCCAGGGATAAGCTATATTCATATTTTTGCAGTGGTTATTTCATATCACTTGGTACATGTCACTGAGCATGTCTATACAAGATGCTAAGCCACCATAGCGATGAGCTGCAGCAACATAGCTTGTCACTACAGCGACGTAGCATCAGCAGGCACAAACCTTGATGCTGCCGTTACTGTGCAGTTGCAACAAGGTAGTGTGTAGTAGGATCAGATTGGAAAAGACCTGTGCAGTGCCAAGACTGTGCAGTACCAGCAGTTACTGTGCAGTCATCTAGTACTTGTTTTTAGTTTACAAGTAGGTAAAGCAAGTACTAAATGACTGCACGGTAACCACTGGTATAGTAGTGGCAGCATCACGGCTCGTGCCTGTCAACACTACGTTGCTGTAGCAATGGGCTATGTCGCTGTAGCTCATCGCTATGGTGGTATAGCGTCTTGTGCAGATGTACCCAGTGACATGTACCAAGTGATATGAAATAACCACTACAAAAATATGAATATAGTTTATCCCTGAAAGTTTCAAGTCTTAGTGATGTGGTTTTGGCTCTAAGTCAGGATATTCCATTAAAAAAACACTGTAGTAATAATGCATATAAAATAATGCTTTTATATCCCCTGGCTGAGGTCATCTGACCTCGGTCCTCTTTCCTGCCAGATGCAGGGGGTCAGACACGATGATCCATTGTGGTCCCTTCCGACTCTACAATCTATGAATTCTGAAGCAGCCCAAAGACTGAGGGATGCTGCTTTATTGTTCATTTGCTTGCTGAGCAATATTAAGAGTGCTTCTTGCCCAAGAAGTTTATTTTCCAGGTCCTATCTTATGGCTTTTAAAATCTGCTGCCACATAAAGAGGCTGTGAATATCATTTATACCAGTGTTTCTCAGCCTGTGGATCATGACCCAAAAGTGGGTTGCAAGAATATTTTAAAGGGTTGCAATCTGTGGCAGGGTAGAGGAGCGGAGGGAAGGCGCCTGCTTCTTCCAGTGCGGGGAAGGGGGTAGGGGAGAGCTGCATGGCCAGGCTGGCAGCACTGGGGCCAGTGCCCATGCTTGCAGGGCCAGGGCAGTCGGGAGATGCTGCTCAGGGGGAAGGAGGGGCTATACCTGGCTGGCCTAGCCCAAGGCAGGTGCGGGTGGCACAGGCCTCTCCTCCTCCTCCTTCCAGCCCATGCCAGTGCCGGACTCACTTCACTGCTGCCCACATGAGCCCAGATGCCGCCACATTCACCACTCTCCAGCCCAAGTGGGAAGGGGGCAACTGGTGGCTGCTCCAGCAGGGTTGGGTGGGTCAGGGCTGCGAGTCGGGAGTGAGGGACACCAGCATGGCCCTGGGAAGCAAGGGACTGGGGGTCAGGTACCAGCAGGGTCTGTGGGTCAGAACAGGCCATGGATCTTTGCAAATGGGTCCCAGAAGGAAAAAGGTTGAGAACCACTGTTTATACCACCAGCAGCTACCAACAGAGGATCAGGTGGAATGCCTCCAAGAGGCATAGCCTGTCCTCCATGTTACAAATACTTCTGTGGTAATGGACTTTGTGAAAGCAGTCAGTTCAGATTACATTAGATACAGTATTACAATTTATAACAAAACATTGATTTAGTAGTCTTTTATAAGTGAGTGGTGATGTGGAAGAAAAAGCCATGTAATGTGCATACTTGCAGAGAGAGATACAGCTAGACTCCTTACTGGAAGTGTCTGGCTTTTGGAGTGTTGTGTTGATAATTTTCAATCAAAAATTTAATGTCTCTTTTCAATCAATATTTTTAAGGGGTACATTAATTTGGCTTAGCAAAGAAAACCTGATTCCCAGTGAGGACAATGGAAATACTCCCTTTGACTTCAGTGGGAGTTGGATCAGAACATATAAGTGACTGACTACCAAACATGGGCTGGTATACCAAGCACAGCTGCAGTGGTAATATACCAGTAGCAATAAAAGGTCCCTTTGTCCTAGTATAACTATCCGTGATACAATAATATGACTGATATGGGGTACTGGTTGAAATAAAAAAAATAACACCCAGCTGATGTTATACTGGTACAACAGCTATCTGTATAGTGGGATTTATCTGTCCCTTTGAATACAGTGAGAACAACAGTTTTGATCAGCTGTATTCTGCTTTTCTTCTTAGAGCACCTTGATGCCAAAAGAGCTGGAGATCTTTCCACACTGTTTGATGTGGGGGGAATCTTTGGTAAGTTTAACTTTTGATTTTTTTTTTTTAAATCTGACTCATCTAAGACAACGTGTAGCACACAGCTACTAGATTTTACTTTTTCACTGTGAAATTAGGCTTTGGTCTTGGTCCACTGAAAAATAATGGCAAAATATGAATCTAAGTAGGATTGGACCCTCAGAGCAAAATCCATTTGCCACCTCCCCAGCCTGAGTATGTGGGCTGGAGAAATGAATCCACAGCCTCTTGAGTGAGTCCTGTACAAGGAAGATTGTAAGGTCCAAGTGTCCTGGGGTGTCTGCACCATGTCCCTGGTAATCTCGGGGAGAGCTACTTTTGAGCATCGTTACTTGCCCGCTCATTCCCACTCGCATGCAAAAAACCTGGAAATGAAGTGACGTGTGTGCACATGCACACACATACATACACTCTCACAGGCTAATGTTTTAAAATAGTGTTTCTGATTAGTGTAACAATATAATATTTTGTGTGTGTAATATATATAAATGTAGTGCTTCACCACTGCATTTTTGGATTTGGCACATACACATGGGAGCTTGTGGATAGGGCGTGTTCCAAAATGGGTGCCCCTGACAGCACCCAGAACTTGCTGTAGACCGGCCCTTATACTGCTCTGGTGCAGCCCCATAGCCCTCTCCTGTCCTTTTTGTCACCTCATTTCTTCCTCTGCAGAAAGCTATCCTATGCTTGCACTTGCTTATTAAAATGATGCCAGTTCTGCTACTGGAGGCCTTCCACAGTCGGAAAGGTGCAGAGACTAGGTTTTTCCTTTAACCTCTAAAAAGTGTTGTTGTCAGCTTCAGGCCTTTGTGTTTAAAATCTAGAGTCTGAGGAGATGATGATAAATTAAAGATTCCTTTACTATAATACTCTGCTGCTGTATTTTCTCACATGCAATATGTCCCAGAATAAAGTATGCAGGCAGAATGAAGAAAAAAGTTCTTTCTTGCAGTAAATTACAGCGTAGCTGCAGTGATGGAGCCTGTTCATTGTTCTGTGCCCTGTGAGGTGCATGCAGATTCTTTTGCTTTTGCCTGGTAAGGCACAAACTGCTCTTAATGTATTTCTTGCATATTCTGTGCACTCAGTTTCCAGCAGCTGTTTTTTTCCAAGGGAGAAAAAATGTTGTATGCGAAAAAATATGGTATGTTTGTATTTCTTGCTAAGGACCTTCTGAATCAGTGTAAGGGTGGTACAAGTCAGTGAAGTGAGGGCTTCCATTCAGTTCCACTTTGAAGATGCTCAGGTAGTTTGGCCTTTGGGTTTCCTCTGCACTTCTTACCTGTCACCTAAGGGACCTCTGCCAGTTCAGCAGAAGACAACAACAGGGGTGAACTGAGGAGGTGTGGCTGGAGCCAGAGTTATTGGTTATTATGGTTGCTGGAGCAGGCCAGTGGCTCCATCATGCTGTTCATGTGATGGCAAGGTTTAGCAGCCATGGCTCCAGCCTGGCCTGGAATTTCACCTGCACTATTCCTCACCTCTTGGGTTCTCCATAGGTCAAGTTTTACTCCCCCACCCCCAACACACACAACTGAAAATCCACATGGATGGCACTCAAGAAAGGAAAGTGATTTTTGTCTAGTAGTTTAAGCATGGAACTTTCTAAGGTACAAATCAAAGCCTCAGAAATAATTGTAAAGCTAGACAAGGTACATTATGGATGAGCAGGGCAAATACAGCCAGGAAATATGCTTGGGCTTAGGTTTCCTTTGGAAGGAAAGGGGTAGGGTGTTGAGGGCAGTAGAGCTGGATGATCTGGGAACATAGAAGAATGACAGTAAAAGGGAATCAGTGATGGAGTAATTATTACAGTAATGATGGGGCCAAATGAAATAGGCGAGAGCTCTTCAAAAGCATTTGTATCTGGGGGACATGGTGCCCAGGACATTGAGCCCTGGGTCTCTTCTTCCCTTGACACAGGCTGCCATTTCCTGAGTTTTTAATTTTGTTTTGGATCAGAAACAAATTAATCCATCCTTCTGCACTGCAGTAACACCTAAGTGCTCTAGTCATGGATGAGGGCCCCACAGTGTTAGGCACTGTACACACATGGCATAAAGAGGGTCCGTTTCCAAGAGAACACCTAATATGCATAAACAAAAAGTCAATAGATGGTTTCAGATAAATGACAGAGGGGCTGTGGGGGGAAGAGGTGAGCAAGGCAATACGAGAAGACTGAATCCCTGCTCTGCTCCCTTCTAGATAGTCAAGCCTGTATCCAGTATTAAACTGAAAGCCGACACTAGGCAACTTCTGATATAACTTAGCAAGTAGTTTGTAGCTTAACATACATAGTGGGATACACTCTGGATCTTGCATTTGAAATTGGATGGGATATGGAGGATTCTGGTGTGAGACCTGATATATACCTCCTTTAGAGGAGGTGGAGGCCTTTATTATTTGTGCATTACAAGAGGCTGATTGGATACAGATGGGTTCCTGATGCCACAGTAAAGTATAATCCTCATCCATGACTATCAATATAGTGACATCTAGATGCTTCCTCCCTTTAAATCCTTGTGGGTGTTTAGAAGGTCTCAGAATAAAAAAAACAAAAAAAGAGCAATGAAGCTAAAATACTTGATTAATTTTGGCATAGATAATATTAAGGGTGCTACTCATATGAACTGTGTTTTCATTCCTCTACTCCATTGGTGTGTAAGTCTACTTTTAAACGATTTGCCCTGATTGTAGGCAAGTAGTTCATAAGCTTTGTTCAAGTTTGGTGCATAAAATTCTTGCACTGTAATGTCTCTCTCTCAGGTGGAATTTTGGCAGGCATAATTTCAGATAGATTGGAAAAAAGGGCTTCGACCTGTGGCATGATGTTATTCCTAGCCGCACCCACGGTAAGAGATGTCCTCTTTATTATACTCCTGTCTTCTTTCGTGCCGCTGTGGTTTAGTTCTGTCAGCATTTCCACTAAAAGCTCCTGTTCTCAAGAGCTTCTAAAAAAGTCACTCCAGAAAGAGCAAATACAGAGGGTTGGGAAGGCTTTAACTTTAAAAAATGGTATAATGTCTGTTTCAGGACTCCATGAAAAATTATCACTTTCAGCTGTCTTTTTACTGAACTCCTATTATTCAGTTTTGCAGCTCTTAATCAGACAGTGCCTGGCAGTTTACTTCTTTTATTTTATTTTATTTAAAACCACCACCAAATCATTACAATCCCTGAGCTAATGTTTGAAAGCTGTCTACTGCAGACAGACAGTGCATGCTTTTTAGCATAGACTAAACGGTATGAATATCAGCAGTATTCTGTCTTATGCTGAAGTGAGCAACCTGACTGGGTAAAACAGTTGATCACAGTAGCTATCTCTTGTCTTTGAGAGTTTTATATGATAGGGGATGCATGAGAAAATGAAGCAGCCAGAATAACAAACCTAATAACTTTGCATAACAGACAACTGGCTTTCTCGGTGTGATTTTGAAGTGTCTTATGAAAACCTGCAGTTCTGTGAAGACTAAAGGAGTCGCAACTGCCTAATGTTCAGCATCATTGAAGTTACTCCTGATTCGTGTTAGGAAAAGTAAAAGATCAGTCAAGCCCGAATCTGCTGTTCTAACTGCTGATGTTTGCTCTTTCATACCCACTACAGTTGTACATGTTCTCTGCAGTCAGTAAAATGGGCCTCGAGGCCACCATAGGTGAGTAGTTAAATTATTTTTTGCCTGTTCTTAATTCATTGTATCTTTTTTACTTAAATTCCATTCAGACTGGTATTTCTGAGGTAGATGATAATGACCTGGTTTTTGAGAGGTGCTGATTACTTGCAGCTTGCATTTAAGTCACTTGAATATGTTTCCTAGTTTTAATAGACGTAAGCCACCCAGAGAAAGGTTAGGTGAAAGCATTTCAGTACTTCCATGGGAGGCCACAGGGGAAAAAAACCTGCAGTAAACTTGGCTCTGGGGAACAGCTGTTCTCCCAGGTCCTGATGTACCCCTCTTATGTAATTGTAGGCTGCCACCAAGTCCCCCCTGAGCCTTCTCTTTTCCAGACCGAAGAGTCCCAAATCCCTCAACCTCCTTGTACGGCCTGCCCTCCAGGCCTTGAATCATACAAGTGACTCTCCCCTGGACTCTCTCAAGCTTTTTCACATCCCTCTTGAAGTGGGGGGCCCAAAACTGGATGCAGTACTTCAGCTGCAGCCTCACCAAGGCTGAGTACAGCGGGAGGATGACGTCCCTGGTTTTGCTTGAGACGCATCGGTAGATACACGCCAGAGTTTGGTTTGCTTTGCCAGCCACAACATCACATTGGTGGTTCATATTCATCTTGTGGTCAATCAGGACCCCCAAGTCTCTTTTGCTAGCGAGTGTAGCGCTGCCGAGCCTGTAAGTGTGCTGAGGGTTCTTCCTACCGAGGTGAAGCACCTTACTCTTCTCAACATTGAAGGCCATCCGGTTTTGGTCAGCCCAACTTGAGAGTGTGTCCAAGTTGGCCTTTATCCCCAGCCTGTCTTGCAGTGTGACCGCCCTCCCCCATAATTTGGTGTCATTCGTGAACTTAGCCAGTTTGCATCTGACTCCTGACTCCAGATCATTAATGAAGATGTTAAAGACTACCGGCCCAAGTACCAAGCCCTCCCACTGCTCACCCTGTGCCACGCCGATTTGGTCCCATTAACTAGTACTCTTTGGGTCCAACCCCATAGCCAGTTACCTAGCCATTGGACCATAAGATGATCAAGGCCATAGTTCCCCAGCTTAGCTATAAGGACGTTGTGGGGAACTAGGTCAAAGGCTTTCTTGAAATCCAGATATATAATATCCACGTCATCTCCCATGTCCAGGACTCGTGTCACCTGGTCATAGAAGGAGATGAGGTTGGTCAGGCAAGACCTGCCAGTCACAAAGCCTTGTTGGCTGGTCTTCAGAAGCTTGCCTTCTGTTAGTCTGGTGTTGATGGATCCCCTGACAATTTTCTCTAGGATTTTTCCAGGGATGGATGTCGGACTGAGTGGTCTATAATTCCCTGTGTCATCCCTCCTCCTTTTCTTGAAGATAGGGACCACAGTGGCCCTTTTCCAGTCTTCTGGGACCTCGCCCGAGTACCATGAATTTTCAAATATCTTTGCCATGGGGGGGTGCAACAATATGTGCCAGCTCCTTGACTCTCAGGTGCATTCTGTCAGGGCCCGTGAACTTGTGAATGTCCAGATTCTCGAGGTGTTCCTTCACCTGATCCACATCAATTTTGGGCCCGCCCCCCACTCCCAGGCTGGTTCATGTCCTTTCTGACAGTGTGATCCCCTTGGGAGGGTGAAAACCTGATGTGAAAAAGTCATTTAGGAGATTGGCCTTTTCTTGGGTGTCAGATGTCAGCTGCCCCATTTGATCCAGGGGGCCAATGCTATCTTTATTCTTTTTTCGCCTTCCACATATCTGAAGAAGGACTCTTTGTTGTCCCTGGTGTAGTTGGGAAATGGTGTAGTTGGGAAATGAGTGAAAGGGGGCATGGCAGACACCCTTTAGTGAACACCTAATACTTGGCACAGGGTCTGCTATGTTCCTTTTGCCAAATGTCAGAGATGGTTAAATAGACCCTTCTACGTCATACCATACGCCACTCATGTCTCTTAAAAGGGACCTGATTCAGAACATAGCTTAAATATACATAAAATCATAGACTCTGGCAAAGTAGGTAGTTGCCTATGAAAGCTCATGCCACTCTGAATAAGTTAGTCTCTAAGGTGGCACCCTGCCTTGCTTCTGCTTAACTATACAGAATTTGTTGGAGGTCTCCTATGAATTACAAAAAAAGGTGTTGAAGTGTCAGTGCTGGCGGAGGAGTTGTACTTTTGTAGCCAAGGTACCCAAAGCCCTTGCAAAGTGTTAGGGATCCATTTTGTTAAGCACTACACCAGCAGATCCAGGGATGCTCCTTGCTTACCTTCTGTAACAAATGAGGGTTTGGGGATGGGCAAGAATCTTTTTTATAGCTGTGCTTGGAGAAGTCCCCTCTTTGTACTTAAATCTATCCATTACTAGGTGGACAACTTTACCCTTCGTTTCTTGGAAGCCTTCTTAAAGATTCTGAATCAGAATTGTACATGCTATTAGTCATAATCTCATAATTACTGTATATTCCTTCAGTAAATATAATTTACGCTGAGTGCTCCGAGTTTAAATCCTCACACATTGCCATAGTTAGCACTGATTTCCAGAACACTCAGGTTTATTCAGTATTCTTTCCCTGACTCCCAACAGTCATGCTACTCATCAGCGGAGCCCTAGTGAATGGCCCCTACGCACTGATCACAACTGCAGTCTCAGCTGACTTGGTGAGTTTGCTCTTTGTTTCATGGCTAGCCAGCAGCTCCATTCATGTTCCTGCATGAAGTGGGGAAACCTGGTTTCTATGAAGCAGTGGTTCCCAACCTTGTTAGACTTAAGACACACCTTGGAAAATGCCAGGTCTTAGCTTTTGTTCTTTTTTTTTACTGCAAAAAAAAAAAAATAGAGCAGTTCTTCTGTTGCAAAGAGCTCAGGAACACCACAGCAGATCAGAATGTTTTTAACTCTGTGAGTTTCTATTGAAATCCTTGGGTTCATCTCGTGAATTGTATGCAAGCGTTTGCACACCTAACTATACTAATGGTGCATGGGACCCTTAAACAGATCTCATGGCACTCATGCTGCATCACACTGGTTGAGAATCACTGCTAGGAAGACTAATAAATAAGCAGTGAGGGATTGATCCCCCACAGTGTCAGCATGTACTTAAGTAGAAGGCAAGGAGTAATGTACAGGACAGGGAGCATCAGTAAACTCCATCCTATATTAATGCTCATGAGTGGCCCTGGCCTGCAGATTAGCCTGGCCTAGTAGCAGAAACCAAAGAGTGGATCTGGGAGGTCACCACCCAGCATGAATGAGAAAAGCACATGCCCCACCCATGGCTTACCTATTTTAATTGCACCCTTGAGAATAAGGGAGAGAGGGTGCAAAATGAGCTTGTGGTGTTCATCCCAGGGTTTGGAGCACCATGCCTGGCTCCAACCCTTGTATCTGCCTCCATCCACCCTTGTACTTTATCCAAGTCAGCTTATGCCCCACCATTCCTATTGCATATACCACACAAGGTCTCACAGGCTGAGACGTAATAAATCCTCCATGAAAACCTCACCCTGGTATCTTGTCTTCAATGTTGCTTTTTTATGATAAGTACAAATTATGGTTTTGAAATATGCTGAATGTATATAGCGCTGTAGGTACAGGAAAGGCAGCAGAACTTAAAATCTACCCCTGGGCTGTTTGGTGATTTGTTCTAAACGCACCATCTTTAAGCTTGAGAAGGAAGTTTACCCTTCATATCCATTCAGTTGTCAGTCGTTGCAAAGAGGCTATTAACTAGGATGCAGGATCTGGTGATGTGGATACCACTGGTCCAGCAGCTGGACTGAATTGATTTTCCCATATATTGCCAAACAGCCTTCTGATACGAATGAGACTTCAGGCCACTGGTAACCTAAACAGAATTCTACATGGTCCCCTGGAAACGAAAAGGTCCCTGTCCTATTACCAGCCATCTGAACCATCCAGGTTCCATTTGTGCCTTGTTATAAAATTATTCCTGTCATTGTTAGCCTCACTTTGCAATGCTTATTTAGTAATAGAGGCTATAAAGTGGCCTTTACAACCACTTCCTCTTAGTGCCTTTGGCTCTGTAATCCTCTAAATGGGCTTTTTAAATTATTCCAATGCTGTAGCTTTGTTAGTGTTGCATGTCCAGCTTGTGACTTTTTTCTGTTCCACAGTGTCTTCTTGACCAGGGGAACAATGGCTGCAATAACCTTGTACCTTCTGAGCAAATCACCAGTGAGACATGCTTTCTGTTCTGCATGCACCATGTGTAAGCAGCACAGACAGTTATTTATAATAAGGAATGTGCTTAAGATAAATGAGGAGAGTATAAACAGTAGAGATGGGTCATAGGGGTGGTGTAACCAATGATAAAAAGGTCTTGCCCTATTTATGTAAGGTTGCTTCCTGAAGTAAATGCTAATGTTTACTTTGTCATTGTAAGAACAGAAGCATAAAGCAGGTGTAAATGGTTACATTCTGATTGTTTGTCACTGCAGGGCACCCACAAAAGTCTGAAAGGGAATGCAAGGGCCCTGTCCACAGTGACAGCTATCATCGATGGAACTGGTTCTGTAGGTAAGTCGTGTTCTGAAGCTATTGGCCTTGACTGTAGGAGGTTACAGTGACTGCAGAGGTTAACCAAAAGACCTAGGAGCTGTATAACGGGGTGGATCAGCTCTGAAAAGGGACTACACCACTGGAATTATGGAACCCAGCACTTGTCCCAGTGACATGGGGATCAGAAATGTTCAGGTTATACAAGTAAAAAGAGGCTTTTTCTAAAGCAACCAGGCTGCAAGATTCACGTGGACTGTGTGTCAAGCTGGATTCTTTCCACCTTGCCCACTCCAGCTATGCGAGTGGGGAGCTGTACAAAGGTAGCCTTAAATATGGGGCAGACCTGGCCACAGACTGGTCTGTGGCCCAGTGTATGCCAGCTGTCAAGGAACTGTCTTAACCTCAAAAGATCAGTAATGCCCTAGTTATAGCAATAGTTGGGTGGGGATGGTGTTGGTGAACCTGCACCACCTGGGAATTCCTCCTGCTGTGGGGAATCCTTCCATATAAGGCATCTTTACACTTGCTGTGAGGGTTGGGGGGCAGTGTTTTGATTAACGTGGCTCTAAGAGTGTCTCATGTATTCAGTGTCCCGCCACTTCAAAATGGCAGCAAGGCACTTTAACTAAAGTTCGTTTGATAAGCTTTAGTTAAAATGTCCCTGCCGCTATTTTGAAAGGCGGGGATGCTGAATACACAAGATGTGGAGGCTGCTGGAGCCACAGTAATTAGCATACTCCAACAGACTCGATTAATTAAGTCTGCTCTGACGCCTTGTAATTAAAGTGTGTCAGAGCAGCATCCCTGCATGTCTGCAGACACCTGTATACCCTAGCCAGCTATTCACGTCTTGAGAGAGTTTTTTGCTGCCCTGTCATAGGAACAGTATGAAGCCATACTGTATAATAACTTATCTACCCTTCATGCATCCTCCTACAAATAGATGTCAATATGGGATTTGCTTTCTCGAGAAGCCGGGACAGAAAATGAATAAAATACCTAAATATAGACCATCTAGTAGTAACTTTTTTATATCCCATCAGTTTTAACAAGCTAGTATATCCATCCTGTATTTCAGGTGCTGCTCTAGGACCTCTGTTAGCTGGTCTTATTTCTCCTTCTGGCTGGAACAATGTATTTTATATGCTCATGGTGGCAGATGCATGTGCCTTACTGGTGAGTCACTGTCTATGTTAGATTACTTTTGTATCAAGCTATTTGTATGAAAATGCTCATTTCCTCAATTTAATGCCATTTGCTGATTCCATTTCAGAGGACTGTTTCCATTCAAATGCAGAGGATTTTTTTACAACTGAGGAGCAAAGTTGACAATTTCAGAATCCTCTTAAATTTTAATTCAAAAGCATAGTTTGTCTTTAGTACACTTCGGTTTCTGGATGATGTGTGTATGCAACAGTTCTTTGGAGCAGTTTTGGTGAACAGTATTGCAAGCAAAAATTCACATATAAATCTGGGAGGACCTCTCGGTTTGATCTAGAGAAGAATTCTTTTGATTTACTTTGTTACTTGTAACACTGAAGCAGCAAAGCCAATTTGCTGAGGTAGTAACAAATGTTTACTGCATTGCCACAGCATCCATATTGTCGGGGTAAAGAAACTCTCAAGAGCTAACCACACACTGTCCAGTTGTGCCTTGCTTTTTCAGCACTTCTTTCAGTTATTTGACTTAAGAAAAGTGTAGTGGATGGGATGATCAGAGGAGTAGTGTCTGCTCTGATTTCCCTTACTTTGCCTTCCATTCAGTAACGCACAAAACAAGGTGTCAAGAGATCTGGGAACAAATGAATTGCTGGCATGTAGCTCCATTGAAATCAGTGATATTACATCTGCAGAACTTGACTTGCAGGTTCTGTTTCAGGTTTTGCCACAAAGCTCCTAGGTGTTTTATCTTTATGACTCCATTTCCTGCTCGGCCAGAGTGTTGGAGCAACAATGCTGACCTGCTACACAGAGGTCCAGTGAATTTTCACTTACTAACCCTTTGTGAACCCTCAATAGAAGGGATTCCTGAAAGGGCTCAGCAATGTGAGACACTCCATTCAGCCTGGCCTCTCCAGTCTGATCTGCTCAATGACCGAACCAGATACCTTGGAAGAGTTAAATGACTTTAGTGGCATCCAAGGAAAAGCAGGTTCCTCCTCTGGGAACATTATCAAGTTGTCCCACTGAGACCTGGAGATCAAATCAATAAAATGGATAGGCTAGTTAATAACTGACAAGAGCTCCTACGAATACGCTATTGTGACCTAAAACATACTTTTATTGTATGCTGAAAGATTTGCCTTCCCTTTTAACTGTCCCATGCCATGGACAGGTGGAAGATCCAGCCCTTCTGGAGGAGATAAATGTGACTTTCTAAGGCAGAATGAAACTGATGCTTCCTAACTGCCATGCTTTGTCAAGTAAATGTGTGTGTTATAAAGCACTATAAAAAGTTGTTTACAGAGCCATTACTGGTGCTGCAGGAATTTCTCCTGTCTACTAGGTAATTTCCCTGTCAGCCTGATAAATCCTGTTGTTCATACTTACTGGTTTGTTTTTTCTCTGTCTTGCCAGTAAAGCTCTTCAGCCCTTGTAGTTAAAAATGCAACTCTTTTTCCAAATGTCCCATGAGTAGGTTAGACCCTCAAAATCCATTGAAGTCCTGCAGCACTTGGGCGGTTGATGTTCTCCCACATCTTTGTAAATCAGATTTCACTTTTTTAAACATGCTCATAACCAGGTCACGTGAGTAACAGCCAGAAATCATGGACGTTTGCATTTGGCTGTTAGCGTAGCTGTGCATGCCCGTGTTGTGCATACAAATCACTGTTCAGAAGGCAGAAACTATAAAGGACCTGGATCTGAAAACACCAAAATACCTGGAAATTTTACTTCTGCAAATTGTCATACAAGTCAAGCTGTTCTCATACCAAACATTTTGCTCAATCATGCCCAGAAATGTGAATCTTGGAGCACTGTTGATACACTACCATTTTAATTTAAGTCTTGGACTCCCTCTGCTGGTTTTTTGTGAACCATACCAGCACTTAAAATGATTCATGCTACAGATGGGGAACTTCACTGAGGATTTCCAAGGGATTTCTCATCCCAGATTTAGAAGAAGAACAAGTTGTTTGACATGTTAATTAAAAAGGCTTTGCCATCTTTGGGCTTGGTTTTTGTTCAGTTTTCTTTCCTTACCTTGTGGTTTGGTTTCCTGAATTTCTTTTTTTCATTTTGCCACAGAGAAAGTTGGGAAGAGGCAGAGGAGGGAATGAGGGAGAAAAATAGTGTGTGGCGGGGAAACAACAGCTAGCTTTTTCATTTTCCAATTTTGTCAAAAAGGAGGATTTTTGTAAATCTGTTCTGTTTTGAAATGTATCAGTTGGTTCTAAGCCTGACCAGTACCAGCAGGCTTGTATGCATCACCTTGCCATTAATGGTACAAAATCATTGTCCAGTGATATACTAATTATCCATAAGTACAATGGGGGTTTTAGTCGTGCAAACTGCAATAGCATATTAAATGAAAATGTAAGAGAATGACAGTGTGCATTTTACACTGAAACATAACTCCGTGGTGCATCTAGGCAGAGTTTTAATGCGGGTTTATTTTTGTGCAGTTCTTAGTCCGTCTTATACAGAAGGAGCTCGGATGTAGAATGGATCATACCTTGTAAGTATTATTGGTGTTTAATGATCATTAAATATTTTACTATGTTTGTTTTTAGCTTGCTTCCCTCTTATTCTAGAAATAATGGATTCCTTATGTTCATGTATCCCAACCTACTTTTTGCCTCCAAATAGCAACACCACTACCTTTTTTTTAATCGTGATGATTTTTCTCTATAGATTTTATAAAACTAGCAGAGAACATTAGACTCCTAGACAGCTTTCTTCAAAAGATGGACCCATCTCAGTTTTTTACCCTTGAGTGTAGGTTGGTAGACTAAGTTCTTGGAGAGTTTTTAATAGTAGCAAATTATACTTTTTCATTCCACAAGACCTCTGGGTAAAAAGGGTTATTCTGAGTCTAAACTAATGTACATTTGGAGAAATTTCACTAAATCAGTGGGACTAAATTCCTTTTACACTTGTGTAAGTAAAATAAGGTGCAATCCTCCCTCCATAATTATAAGAAGATGAGGCATGGAATAGAAAAGTATATAACAAAGAATGCATACAGTATTTGGAAGTTATTAAGCTCTTCTGTTTTGTTTGCTGTGCTTTCACAGGTTTAAAGAACACTGAGTAATGACATCTTGGACTTGGAATAAGGTCTGTGCGAGTGATCAGAACTCTTCCCTCAAAGACTTTTCAGAATAACTTATTCAATATTTAAGAGATTGTTTTCATGAAGGATTTTGTACTCTTGTCAGAAGACGATTTAGAAATTCAACTAGTGAATTTCTGGTGAAGTTCTTTCTTATTTTTTTGCACATGCATCAATACCTCAGCATGTTGACTGTTTTATGACCTGGAAAGAGACGGAAGGTTTGAGAAGCTGCTACAAGTATGCCTTAACTGAGCCAGAAAGAAGTACCAAGTGCCTTTGGATTCATTTGGATAGAATATTTCAATTAAACATTTAAACTGCATTTTTGATCAGAAAGCAAGGAGATTTGAGAACAGAGCGTGAAGAAAATAAGCTCTTCAGCTACTCCAGCAATGGACTCTGCCAGTATTGTTAACAAAACATTAATGATCAAAGTTTCCTTTATGTCATCTCTTAAAAGGCAAGATCCTAATACTATATGTGAATTTTCCAGCTGGTTACAATTCACTGCTATTCAATATTCTGAAATTGTTCAACAGAATAATACCAGAGCCAGACCATATTACTATGGTTTAACTGCATCACTAACTTAATCCTGTAAAGGAGAATCCCAAAGGCAACATTCAGCCATTTTGTGTGTAACATAATGGATCTTACACCTAATTACTAAGTTGGGTGCCTCTGCTGACCTCTGGCTAGATATTATTGCTCGATTGGGATTGTCTGAGAAGGAGGCTCAACTAGCAAAGAAACTTATTAGAGCTCAGCATTTCCTACAAGAGTCTCTGGTGCTATATAAACTGGGTGGACAAACTACATGTTTGCTGTTTTATTGCTTGTCTAGGCCACCCTGGGGTAGCAGAGGATAATATCTTGTCTCACTTGTGATGGAAGCTTTAGCATTAATTTTAGAGGGTTGAACAGAAATAGGCTGACTTTGACCCTGACCTCACAACAATTTTAATGCAGGCACCTACCTCACAGATACTAGTGGGGTGCATGCAGACATAAGGATCTTCCTGAAGACAGCTTAGTACAGGATCAGGCCTTTAATCAGAGTACTAAAAACTTGCTCACAGAGAGGCCGGTGGTCCATGTTCATTGCATGCATGCACGTGTGTGTGGGGTAAAAGTAATCTGGGATATGGGATCAAAGGAAGTGTTATGGCACATGTTATCCTGAAAGTGCAGTTGTTTGTGTTTTCATAACATACCGTTTTTTGTTAATCTGACAGTTTCTCTCCTTCTGAGAGAGAACATGTTTCTAGGGAATGTACTAAGATGTAACAAAATACAGAGTTTCTGTAAAGGAGGCATTGATACAGATTGAATGCAAAGGTTAAATAGACACATTCTATATTTGTTAAAAGATGTATTTATTAAAACTTTTAAGCAACCATAATGTTCTGAATGTTCTGACTTTTGCTTTAAGCTTTGCAAAACAAGACAGTACTGTATATACTTGACTTGGTGGACAAAATACCACTTCTTAAAATAACCCTACAAAAATGTACTGGTACATTTTTTTTATTTTTATTTTTTTGTCCACCAACTGCTGGTTCTGTGTTTTGTTTTAGCTCAGTATTTATGCTTTGAGGACTGTTGTTCTGAATTGTTCAAATGTTGACCTCATTTTTGAACACAGAACAGTTGTGTGGGTTTCTGTATTTTGGCCTTGATTTAGCAAAGTACATAAGCAGGTGCTTAAATCCCACTGACTGAACTGAAACTTGGCACATATTTAAAGTTAAGCATGTGCTTAACTATTTTGCTGAATCAAAGTGTTTGCTTGCAAAAAGGAACCTCCAAAGGCTTCAGTCAAACAAAGTTTTCTAGCATTCATCATCCAAAGTCTTTGTGTGATGAATGCTAGACACCACCACCAGGCCTGCAAAGATTTACAGAAATGCTTAACGTAACACACACACCATACCTAGTAGTACCACTGATTTTTGTAAGGGGTCTCTCAGTGCATAAAAAGAAGCATTTGGCTTAGTCTTTGTAGGATTGGGGTCTTGGCTATCACAGCCATTTATACTGTTAGACGCTGCATCTCCAAAATTGTTTGTTAAAGCTGTATTGCTAAGGCTAATGTCTTAAGGTGTTTCTAGTTGTATTTATTAATAGAAATATACTGTTGTAACAATGTTTAATGAACTCCAAATTTGGGGTGTTTTTCTTCTTGGGAGCTGATTTTATTTATTTTTTTTAAAACCCTTTGCAGTATAAAGACCTAGATTTGAACTAACGAACATTGATTGCTCTGAGGAATTGGGTTTCTGGTACCTAACACTGTCCTTTTCCATTCAGGAGTTTAGTGTTCTAGAAGGATGGCATATATTTTAAAAAATGATGTGCAATTTTCTTGAGGGGGGGAACGTTAAGAATTTCTTACAACTTTTATCTGGGGTTGAATTAGGGAATCCACATCTGTAAATCAGGAAGGACAGACTAAAATGATAGCTGGCATGTGTAACAGTCAAAATATTGTGCAGAATAATAAAATGGCTGAAACATGACTGATGTTTGTTTCTTAAAGTGCTAGGAAATGTGATCATTTCAATTTCAAGCTACAAAAAATGCCTCGGCCACTGGAATTCAATGTTGCTCAATCTATAAGGGCTGTGTCTGCAATGGGAGTTCTGCCTACCTAAGAACAGCAGTATCAGGCTCTTACTTTTCAGAGGACCTTTAGTCTGGCTTTAAAATGTGTCCATACTTTGCAATTACAGTCACTTTGCACTGCAGAAAATTGAACCAGTGGATCTAACTTCCATATCCAACTTGTCTGCAAGGCAGCTCACTAGACACCAATGTTCTCTTATTTTGCTGTTGCGAATATGCAGTACAAGAGTGAAACTGCTTCTCTCCTATAACCAGCCCTAAAAATCCCTGAGTGCTAGTCAAACAGTGTGTTTTGGTACCATCAGGTGTCAATGCGCCTTCACCTGATGAAGCAAATCAGCTGGCAAATGCACATTGGAATGCAAAACTGCAATGGGCAAAATAGGGTTCATATCTTAGTGTGAAATGTTTCATTTTGTTAATGCTGATTATTTGGAGTTTAAAATATTTTTTACATTGTGTTGAATAAAAGCTGAATTCTTTATTAAAGGGGGAAATGTTGACTCTTTTCTGCCTCTAATTTGTTCCTGGAAAAGCTGTCCATCTTGTGCGTGTGAGATAGGCATCCTCATGGGGAGAGGGTCTGTCTTTCTAGAGACAGTTGTGGAAATAGTTTGTTTAGGAAAAACAACTCTCATCTTTCTTCCAGGCACACTGGCTTTCTCACCTGAATGTTATTCCCCTGACCTTTGAAACCTAGAACACTGCCGCTGTCTATCAGCTGTATCAGTGGGAGAGGTTATGCTTTCCTCTCTGTCCTGTGTGGAAGGAGGCACTCAGGAAAGGAGCTGGGGAGGGAACATACTGGTTGTCTTAGTGCAACTTACCAGGGAGAGATTGGGGTGTAAAGTTACATCAGAATAGTAGGAAAAAGTTATGCAAAGTTACATCAGAACAAAGTTTTCCATGCATCTAACCACTTCTAAGGAAAATAAATGGGAGAAAAAAAGACACAAACTGGAATCTGGTGCCATTTAATTAAGAAACAAGTGTAGAAGGTAAATTGCACCATAAAAAATTAACAAATTGTTCTGGTGTACAAAGAACCCTTGAAGTCCTCATCTAGTTTCAAAAGCTATTAAAGCCTGTCATGGTACACTTGCATTTCAAATGTTGTAAGTAAATACACTCTCTATCTGTAACACTCAGAAGCTACTTCATTTTCACAGGTGCAATTAGTTGGGAATATTCTAATGAAATAATTTTTTATTAGAAAATGCTAATTCATTGACACTAGCTATCTCTCTGCAGACATATAGCAGCTGTGACAGACATAAAGCTTCTGCACAGACGCAGACCAAACCATGTTAGCTAGAAGAAGCAGAGATGAATGTGCCCATTTCCTACCATCCTAAAGCACAACCAGCTAAGATTGCTTCAGTCATACTAGTCCTGTTTCATGGCAGAGCTTTTCAAATATTTTAAGCCAAGCAAAATACTTATCAAACCAACCCAATTGAAAAGCAGACAAAGTTTCCTCATCAAGATCATGCTTTATTATTCTAACGTGGATGAAGGCAGAGGCTGGGAAAAAAATCTCATAACTAGATGCAACTTAAAATTGGAAGTACCCTGGGAGAAGTGCTGTATTGAAACCTTTGGCCCCTGAGATTTTTCTCACTCCACGGCTTATGTTCCTATAGACCTCTAATTGCAAAATTGGTACGCGCATAGATGTGTTATAAAGCTCTCAGTTTAACAACAGAACACAAAGATGAACATAACATTGCAGAAATAAAACGTCAACTTCTGTACCACGTTACAGCCCACATTCTATGTAGACAAGTTACTATAAATACATTTTAATTGCAATGTTTTTTTTTCCATAGCCATCTAAATGAAATTAAAATAAGATGGAGTAGTAACTCTTGGACTTCGCTTATCAGATCATGAGATCTGAAAGGGACATGATAATAGCATTACATTATTCACTGCCCATGTATTCCTCTTTCAGCATGAACCTCTTAAACTGTGGTAGATACAGTGCTGCTGTCACCTACCTCTTTAGAAGCCCAGCAGTTGCTTAGTTTTTAAGGGTATTTCTTCAAATAGTAAAGAAGGCCATTTTGAAGATCTTTTTGTCTCCAAGCGTGTGCAAGGGGTATTTGTGCAATTTAAGATACACTTCCCACTAGATTTCTTCTTGCATCTCAAGCAAGGGATTTCCAGTGGGATTTCTCTTTACATTTGTAAAGGTTATTCCAGCAGTGTAACTAGCAGTGGTCAAGTGGGGGACCAGCCTGCACTCTGGCTTAGAAGGAGCACCATAAAGGCAGCTGCTGCTGCTGTCCTGGCCACCACTGAGGCCTAGGGCACAGAAATGGCTTGTTCCAACTCTGGGTTATTCTGTGTACTGCATGTGTATGTTTCATATCAAAAGATGCAAAAGGGGGGATGGGGGGGTTCAATTTATATTTATGCTTATGTCATGCTAGCTCAGGCTTCTTGGTGATTCTTGAATGCAGGAGTGTTCAACCCTCAGCCCATGGGGCTCCCCAGGGGTCAGAAGTTTGGTGGTGGGGGAGCAGTAGCAATTAATACTGCCACCCTTTCCCTGCCACCAAATTCACAAGCCCTGCACAGCCATATCAGGGTTGAGCCATGTCCCCTTCCCCCTGCACAGCCAGGTTGGGGCTGGGCCACAGCCCATCCCACTGTATGGCTGGATCATAACCCCGCCCCGCTCTGTTTGGCCTGATTTGGCCCCACTACACCTGGCTTACGTGTTGGATTGAGCCCACTGGCCGGATCCAACCTGTGGATGGGCCAGGCACTGCCCATCTGTCCCATGGGGCAGAAACAGTTGAGCACTACTGTTTTAATGCATTTAAACTCAAGAATTAATTTTGTCACCAATTATAGGTTTGTGCAATGGTTAACATACAGAATTATTTATATTAGAGATACTGTTCAAAGCTGGATGTACCTAGTGTCAAAGGTCCTTAGAGTTGTTGGATAATTTTTGCACCTAGGACCAATTAAGTTTGCTGTTAGTCAAAGCAAGTACTGTATGTAGTCTCCGTAGGGGTCCAGTTGAGATTTTATGGGCTGTATTGTAAGGAAATTAAACTGGAAAATTTAATAATCTCTTCTGGTCTTAAAATGTGTAAGTTATGATTGGCCTACATCAGAGTTACTACTTTTCATTTTGGGAAAATTGCTTTTGCTCTTGCTTGTGTTTTCTCCCTCTTGCACTCTCTCTCCCTCTCCCTCCCCCTCCGGGTTTTTTTTTGTTTTATTTTTTTTGTTGAACTGAAATGCGGGTCTCTTGAATTCTCTGTGATCAGGTAGGAATGGCCAAGATTTTCAAAGCTGCTGAATCATGTAGGAATGCAGCTCCCAGTAATTTCAATGAGAATTATGCATCTCATACCCTGAGCGGTTTTGAAAATCTCACCTAAACTTTCCTATCAGACTGAGTTAAAAGTCCTGCCATACTGGCTTAAGTCAGTGATTTAGGCTCTGTTATACTTCAGGCTTCAGTGTCCCAGGTTTATTACATGATGATTTTTTCTTCCTCAGAAATTGTTCTTGTACCTTGCTATAAAAGATTTTGCATTTTCTTCTCCTCATTTCCTTTGTTGTGACTTATTTCCAGTTCAGAGGAAAATGACAGTACATCTTCCTACAAGCATAGAATTACTTTCCATTACATAGTCACTATGGGGTGTCTGGGTATCCAGTGATTACAAAAACCACAGCCAGTCTTCCTTCAGACTTGTTTCATGGAAATACCCGTCTCCTGCTTTGACAGCCATTTTGTAAGAATCTTTGTCACAATCTTCTCTTTCCTGAAGATGGTCAGGTATTCTTTTTGATATCTTCATTTACTTTTTTCACCTACCAGTTCTGCTTTTCAGGTACATGTAAGATCAAGGTAGGATGGGTATTTATTTTGGCCTCCTACTTTGATCAAAGGATCTTAGAGGGATTTAGTCATGTTTCATTAATGTCCGTTGTGGCCCAGAAACTTTTCCATAAGGCAGCAGGTGACTTAACTTGGTTTTATATTTATACTACCATATAGAAAAACAGCAGCATTGCAAGTACTATCTTCCATAAAATTCTTCACTGTTTACATAGCACAGGCTTCTTTTGATTAAAAATATAATAATAAAATTACCTGAATCGCTGCGTTATAGTAGTGTTTTGGAGGTAACAATCAGGGATCCATAGTGACCAGTGCTGTGTATGTATGTGTTGGCATGTTGGGTGAAAAGTTCCCAGCCCAGTGAGTTTACAATGAGAGTTAATGGGTGCACCTACACGTTAATTACTATACTGTAATTACAGCCCATTAAGTTTAGTACCTGTCATCACAAAGTTTAGTAATTAGTGCTACTGCACATTAGTGCAGATAATGCTTTTTGTGTGACGGTTAATGCACATTGGACTAAATCTACTGTGCATTAGTACATTAGCATGGTTTTTGCCAGCTGCACTAATGCGCAGTAGAATTAGTCCAATGTGCATTGTCTGGTGTAGACATGCGCAATCACTCTTGAAAACAACCCAACTCCGATGAGCCTTACAAAATCAAAACACTTCTGAATGATTTTAAAGCCTTGAATAACAACATTGCAATCACCCTTCCTGAATTATTGGTAAGGAAGCATTATGGTAATCAAAAGCAAATACATAGCATTTCTGCAATGCCATTGTAAGGCTTTGGCTGCATTTACAATTTGTTCTAACAAAAACAAATTTAGAAAAAATTTGGAATGAAAATTAATTTCCATTATCTCCTGCTATGAACAGCCATCACTAGCCATACCAGCTAGTGGCTTTGATTTCCCAATTCAAGCAAATTAGGTTTCAAATGCATTAGAAGACAGTCTACTTGCTACATACAAATGAATTAATCTGTTGATGTTAAGTAAGGGCTTCAAAAGATAAAGCATGCATAAGTTCAGTTCTTTCAGAGATTGATTTAGCTATATGAGATGATTAAATTTTTGTGTGTGATAAGTCCATATGTATTAAAGATAGCAAAAGAGCTAGTACAAAAAACACCATGGCTACGTATCTGATTAGCAGTAGAAGATTAGAAGATGGAAACATGCACTATTTGAAGCACTCAGCTAAGATTTTTAAAGTTGGATTTTTCATTAAGTCCTACAGGGCTAAATCCAGAAAAGAACTTTAAAAAGTCTAAATGCATCGATGACTGGAAGAAAGGGCATGGGGGGGCATGTGCCCCCCCCGCCCGGACAGCTGTCCCCTACCACAGCAGCTTCTGCGGGTGGTCACCAGCCCCATCCCCTACTCTGATGCCGGCTTCTGTGGGTGCTTGCCAGCCCCATCCCTGCTGCTGATGCCATCACCGGCTTCTGCGGGTGCCCCCCCAGACTCAAGAGGCACCTGTTGCCCATGTCTAAATGCCTAGCATTTCAACCAGTGGTGACATGTAGAGGGTGCATGGGGGTGTACATGCACCCCCTAACTGACCACACTCGCTGCTCACGTGACAGGCGGGGGAGGGCAGGCAGGAGCACTGGTGC